GGTGACGACGATGGTGGTGAGGGAGACGATGCTGCCTGGGTAGGTGCGTGCAACCTCGAGAGAAACTGCACGCGTGAGCACCGCGCGGATGCTGCGGCTCCGAAATCATGGCGGCGACATTACCGCATGTAACGGCTGCTTGTAACACATAGGAACGCGGACGTGCATCTGCTGCGGCCAATTAAAATACGTTGATGCCTGGATATCGTTAGACATGCTACTCGTACCTTCCGGGCATTTCGGATATCTCTCTAAGGAGGATTTCTCCATTCATTCTCTAAGTATCACGTGGGAACGGATCTGCTTTAAATTGCATGAATTACTTATTACAATTATACGTACTTATTACAATTATGCGTATTTGTTATAATTTTTAATAAGTAATAAGTAATAATTGTTTTATGAGAGAGATGTAATAATTGAGAAATTTATTAATAAATTTTCTTGCTGCTTATACGTTGTTTGACCCTCGCAGATATGATACAACGCGATGTAGGGAAAACTTTCATTCGGCTTCCAAGCTGTAAGAAGAAACCACGTAATCTCTATTATGTTGTTATGTCTGCACGAGATGAACGGCCGGTATAAGTGATGAACGGATGATTCTGCATCCGCTCGTTAGAACTTTTTAAACTTTGCTCTCGCACAGGCCGGAAATAGCGTTACCGTATCTTACGTGCACATACGTATACGATGATATATTGCTGATGCACGATGTAATATATGTAATAGAACTATGGAATGCAATTCAACGAAAAGGTGTATTTAATATAAGGTCGAAGGGATATTTCTCAGAATTTCTCAAAGTAGAGAAAGAGAAAAAGAGATGCTCTTTGGGTCGTTACAAACGAGAAGTGTTGTAAAATTTCTTTTTAAATTCTTGATGACGAGTCTTGATGACGCTAATCCTTCTATTTTTCGATCTTCAGGGACTTTTAATCCTTGAAAGGTTCTTAAAATCTCTTTTATTATTTCTCTAATTTCTCTTATTTCGTATTTCCGGTGCGTGGAACTGCTGTGCAAAATAATAGTATGCAGTGTAATGCCAAGAGTCCGCAGATATTACATGTAAGTTAACCGCGAGTTATGTAATGAACAATTTGTAACTGAGCAGCTCCTTAAACTCAATAAGAGGGAAACAATGAGCCATTAAGTATCGCTTGTACAATTACCGATAGTTAGACCGTGATAAGTGATATTCAGCGGCTTTTATCACGCCATCGTGATTAAAGAATCGCCAACTATGTTCGCATTGTTTCATTTTATGTTCCGAAGAACCTGCAAATTAATCTCACTTAACGAGCTGCTCAAAACATCGCTCGGTCGCTATTTCATCGCAACTATAACCGATAATTGATGATTTATTTCTCTCATATTTTGCGTGACAAAATTAAGATAACTTATAGTATAATAGCATTGTTTTTAAGACAACGATTAATCTCTAAACACCAAGAAAATTATTTTTAATTAATCTCTTTCTCTTTGATTGGAAAGGTCTTCGAACTTTGCGCAGAAATATGTAAAAATTTTAATAATTCTAATAATTTTTCTAATAATTTTAATAACTATCTAATAATTAATAACTATCTAATATAATTAATAACTATCTATTTTAATAACTATCTAATAATAGCTTTCTAATAATTTTAATAACTATCTGTAATCCCATCGATCTTTTACCTTCTTCTACGAATACATAAATAAATATGTATTGGTAATAAGCGAAACTACACTAGAACGAAATACATTAATGATCGTGATGATTGTAAATCAAGATTATTCAGATTATTATCGGTCATTCGCAAAATACTGACCGATTAATTTGAACGAGATTGGGCTTGTGTTTGACGCACGCATCTTCTCGAGGTCAGATTAAGAAATCGAACTTCGGGCACGTCTGGCCGGTGGCCGGCATCTGAGAAAGGAGAGATCGCAAGGTGCGTTGTGCAACGGTCCCCGGATAATTTATACCACTCACGGTTAACAAATACCACGCTACCTTTAACTTTGTGTGAGCAGCGCGCGAATTATTTTGCACTCTCTCTGCGGTATGCGAACTATAAATTGCCGAACAAACGTTGCATTCGCGATGTTGATCCTTTCAATCGCGCGGCGCTTTCATGTATTAAGACTTATTTACGCTACCCCGATCCTTAGACCATATCACGGACAATCAATTCCCATTATATCTGTAATAGATACGATATAATAAAACCGATAATTTACTTGTTCACTTTAACGAAATTGTTTTGAAAGAACCGCAATCTTAGATCTCTTAAGATCATTATTTACTTAATAATTTTATTTACGATGCATACTGTTAATTTTATGATATAAAATAAATATTACTTGTTAATTCTTTATATTCCATTTGCTTATTTTTTAAATAAAGATTGTAAATTTTAATTTATATTGAATAACACTAATATTATAATATAAATCTTTATTTATGTATTGCGAATCTCGTAAAAAAGTTTCTTGTAAAGAGAATTTAACCGACTCTTATAAAGAGAAATGATTGCCAAGTTACTAATAAAATAGAAACTACGATTGCAGTGAGATAATGTTACTAAGCAACATTTATCGAAATTGAATCAAACTATCTGGGAGAAAATTATGCGGATATATGTAGAATGCGGATACAGTTTGAGCAATCGTATGCTTTCTACTAACGGAAGTAACAAGAGTAAAAAAGAAGAGAGGGTGCTATTTATTTAATTACACTTCAATACATGAATGTTAACTAAGAAAGTATAAATTTATAAATTTATGCAGTATTAAATTAAACAAAATTAATAATTATAGCAATATATGCATCTTTATATTAGCAAGTTAAATTAGAAGCTAAATTAGAATATAACAAAAAAACTTTTCCTGTCAAATTACACAAAAGATTCCGATTAATTAGGAATGATAACGAATCATAATGTTTAAAAATAAAATAACAAATTTTGATAGCATAATGTTAAGAAAAATTAGAAGAAGGATAAACGGATATTAGAAAAGGCAACCTTGATCTATATAATCTATTTTTCTATTAAAATATCCTTGAATTTAGTTTGTCGATTAAAAAATGTCTGCAACTGTCGGTGTTTGTTTGGATATTGTGCAACTCAAGGTCCTTGAGTGGCCCCAGGTGAATTCCTTGACCAAAGAAATTCCTGGAGATTTCATTGAGAAGATTAAAAGGCCAGATCGCGCCAAGTACTTCTCTTTTTTTGGCATCATCATATTTTTATCTTTTGTTCACAGTCTGTGCTATTCACGTTTCTCTATAAAGATTGCACTTACTATTATCGAACTGATAATTAAAGCCACAATTAGCGCCAATTGCGTAAATGTGGATTTGCTTACGAATATAATTTGAAGAAGAAAAGTGAATCAAACAGGATATAAGTATTTCTCTTATTTTTTTCTACCGTAAATAATTGATATTAGAATGTTCCCCATAATTGTGAGCACACTTTAACATACAATATAATGCATTGCATCGATGTATCGGGACTTCAGATGGCAATTTCAAAGTTGCATCATTAGCGTCCTACATTTAATTCGGGAGTGAAAGCATGTTGACCGACTTATATGTAATGAAAAATTCCCAATGATGCTGGGATCTCATAACAATTATATAATGAAACGCTCGAATTATCAGGCGAGTTATACATCCGGTTTGTCACAAAGATATTTACATCTCGGAATTTTATTTGATTATTATCGATGTTTTCTAAGAAAAATGTGCAAATGTTAATCGCTCAATGTCAATCAAATAGCTTCGCATAATGATTTTCATAATCAATCAAATAGCTTCGCATAATGATTTGAACATTTATATGTAATAATTGCAAATGTCTAGTCTATAAAAGACTACGAATAATAATTATCGACATAGCAAATAAAACATTATAAATGCATTTAAATTATAACAAATTATCAGTTTTTATCATACATTAATGAGTGCGAGATATACATAATTTGTCGCAAGAAATATTGACGTCATTTATTAGGAATATGTACTTTGTCATCTCATGTCAACACTTACTCGCTTAATTATTGCGCAAACTTCTGGCAAGATCTAAGATCAAAATGATAAAGTTTTCTAACAATTACGGTTACAACATACATGCACACACATACATATATATAAATGCAAGTAACATCCAAGATTAATCATTGTCAAAAATATTAATTTTTTAATGCAAATTAATTCATTAAAATGTATGCAACCTTCTATTTGTTTCAAGTAGCAATTAAACATAACATATGTAAGTTTTCATCTATACCAACTTATCGTTTAAAGTCTTCTCAGGATTTACAAATTCTCAACAAATAACAGGGACTACCAGTTTGGCAGCAAAGAGTCTCTTGCTTAATCTTGATTCTAAGATCCTAGGCTATCGCTATGGAAAGTGTGTTTCGTAATATATTTTCCAGGTTTTATATTTACGCACTACTCTATGAACTAAGCGCGTGCGCGCGTTCTATTTTGTATTAATAATTTATTGAATATGAAAAGTTGTTCTATTATGAAAAGTTATTCTATATATTTAACATATAATGTATACACATACATCGCATAGATATACATATATATACTACACACAATGTTTTAATTAAAATATTTTTTAATACCTAGTTATATATAAAGGCATTATTATAAATAAAAACTTATACTTACTATATATATAATAATATAATGCATGATAGATTAAATAATTATTTTACTTTATTTTAATAATTTTTGTGTATTCGAAATTTACAATAATAATTGCATCTCTGAGAAGTGTTGACGGATAATTATAGAATCTGAGTTACTCAATTCTCAATACTCGGCACTAATTTTCAAATGTAGGTCAATGCTTGCTCTATGAAAAGTAGTGAATAGCTATAATGTCCGTTCACAAAAAAAATTGTTTGCGTAAACGCGCATTAAGTGCGCATATACATTTAATATTGCACGTTTTGACACTTGCATTATTAACGTTACTATTATTTTTTTGCAGGTAGGATAACAGCAATTTGTTTAGGTCTTCTTGCACTTGTAATTGGCATAGTGCTTAGTAGCATACCATGGGTTGATTACCTCATTCTAAGAGTAAGTATGAAATATTTAATACACATTTCGTAAAAGATATATTTTATTTAATAAGATTTATTTTCTATATATTTTATAGAAATATAGTTATCGCGAGATGTTTAAAAAACTGTATCTTGCTCTTTTATTTTTATATATTATTGAAATAATATACATAAAATAATCTATGAACATGTAATAATATATCATTTATGCTGTTAATGTATTTTACAATTTAAATATATATATATATATATATATATATATACATATAATTTCTATAAATTTATTTAAATTAAATTAAATTATTTATTAAAATTTATTTATTTATTATATATATATATATATATTTAAGATATATATTTAATTAAATATATATATATATATATATATATATATATTTAAATATTTATGTTCACATATTTATAAAATATATCGAAATGTTTTGCGAAATGTGTATATTAAATATTAGATAGATAAATAGTAAATGTAGAATTAATATACATTTATTGAAATTACAGAAGATAATGTATAATGTAGTGATTACATTAATTGCAATTGACACGATTGAAAATAGTTGGTGTGTTTAGCTGACAAGATTGCAAGCGCGACATCATCAATGAGTCATGTGTAATCATTGTTTTGACAGGTTTTTGCCTTTCAATTTCGTTTTACTTTCAAATCTCGCAAAGATATGAGATTATATGCGCATATTTGGATAAAGTATGTCTCATACAATGAATATTCAATATTTTTTATGGTTCATACTTGCCATCGAGTAATTTGCATTCGCAGTAAATAACTTCGCGAGTCTCTTTTATTATTTAAGATTAGCTTAACGTACGCAAAGTAAACTATCTGTAAATAATTTATGATTATAAATCATGAATTGAACATATTATATGTGCAATTTTTATAATGTTACTTGCACAATTTAAATTGCACACATTTGATGATTGTAGATATTCTTGAGACATGTCAATTAATTAATTTTATTGTATTATTGCACAGCCTCTATTACATATTAATCAAATATAATATTTTAGAGGCAATATTATTATTGTAATTTATAATTGTTAAAATAGGAGAAATTGATTCTATTACACAAGCTCTGAACAATCCCCTTATTGTAATGCTATTTCGTGACTAGTTTTTTAATTATTCATAATTAGATTTATTCTCGTAGAAATAATTAGCACGTTTTAAAGTTGTTCACTACAATTATTACAAGTTTTTACAACATATGTAGAAATTTATTTTTGTCCTTGCACTTTTCCTTTCTACATTCCTTTCTATCGAGAAGAAAAACGAAAACAACTTTTTTACAAAAAGAGTTTACAATAAGAGGGAATCTTAAAACTTTTCAATTTTAGGAATTCATTTTTTTATCTATATAGAATGAAATCCCATTAATTCGTTTTACTTCTTCTATTTTAATTTCCCCGGAAATTATCTAAATTAATATAGGAGATATAGAATAAACATTCAAAGTATGTGCAACAGCCTAATTATGCAATAATGCTTCTCGATAATATGTATGACCTCTTTTCGTATAATAGATTCAACATAATAAATTACGCACGTAATCGATCAATTAACTAATTTAAAAAAATTAATTATGAAAAAAATGTTATTGTTCTTTTTTCTCAAGATGATTAATGATCATTTCATAAAAATCTTATGATAAATTACTCAAAATGAAGTACGAATCGTGCACGTGCGCAAATCGCAATTTTAACTTGAGAGAAACCATATATACAACACGGCGGTAATAATATCGGTAATAATATCGGCAATTTATCGTGCTTTTCTAGCAACTGCGACTATGGAACGGCTCGATCTCCTTTCAATATTGGCAAAAGCCAGGCGTAGCTCGATTAACCAAAGTCTACATATTTAATGTAACCAACACGGAAAACTTTCTGCAGTTTAACGAGAAGCCAAAGCTCCAGGAAATCGGCCCATTCGTTTATCGGTAAATATATGCTAACTCGTATTGCAAATTTGCCAAATGATCCTGAAATTAGCATTAAAATATATTTTTCTACGAACAATTATCACGTATCTTTGTGTTTACTGTAGTTTGTTAATATTTTAAATCTTGAAGTGCTTGCAAGTATGCAAATCGATTGAATGATGCTTTATTTGGCTTGCGTATTTATGTGGACTAAGTTTTGTTTAGATACCACAACGATCGTTTCGCAATCGATACAATAAATGTACATCTTTTTGCAGAGAGGATATGGAAAAAGTTAACATTGTATTTCATAATAACGGAACTGTCAGTTATCAGCATAAGAAAATTCTGAACTTTGTACCTGAAATGTCTAAAGATGAAAACATCAAAGTGATAGTGCCGAATATACCTTTACTAGTGAGTTTCTAGCATACAATCTAATTTTATATTAATATTTTACAAATTAATATATATATATATATATATATATATAAATATAAAAATATTTGTTTACATATTTTTGAATTCTTATCGAGAATAAACAAAATATAAATTATAAAATTTATGTGTATATATATATATATATATATATATATATATATATATATACATATATATACACATTTTTTAAATTCTCGATAAGAATTCAAAAATATGTATAAACGAATATTTTTCTTTTGTCTGCAGACACTTTCCACGCAAAGCAAAAGCCTTCCAAATTTCATCACAATAGGATTATCAATTTTCTTGAGTGGGATGCATATGAAACCCTTCATTCCTATAACAGTGCAGCAACTTGTTTTTGGATATGATGATCCACTAGTTACTCTCGGATATCGATTTCTTCCCAAGGCAAGACGGCCCATGAGCAAAATGGGTCTTCTGCTTGGAGTGAGTGCTAGGCGATAATTATTACTATAATTAATAAATTATTATTATAATTTATATATTTTAGTTTCCGTTATACATTTTTATAAAAAATAATTATTATTTTATATTTTTACATGCAGATCAATATATAATTTTGTAATTTATAATCAAACTCCAATTGTAGAGAAACGGCACATTAAGTGAAATATCCACAATATTCACCGGACATACGGATATGAAAGAATTCGGTCTAATAAATCGATTGAACGGGCTTGATCATTTGCCATATTGGCCAACGGCACCCTGTAACTCCATTACAGCATCGGAAGGTAAGTTTTTTGCGTATCTAAGAAATATAATAACTTCTTAAAATGAACGATTTGACGATGGACTTTTTGTTTCAATGAAATATTAACTCTCTTAGCATATTTTGTTATGAATAAATTTTAAATGCTCTTCGCACAGGATCCTTTTTTCCGCCGCGGGATCGGACCGGCGCGAATATCGTTCACGTGTGGGATAAGGATTTCTGTAGAACATTGCCGTTACAGTATCGCGGACCGGTAGAAAAAACGAGTATCAAGGCGGATTTATATACCCCTCCGGATGTAGTTTTCGGTCTACCGAATAAGACATTTAGGGAAAATGAATGCTTTTGTTCCGACGGCATCGCCAATTGTCCCCCGCAAGGCTTGCAAGACATTAGTCCGTGCCAGTACAGTGAGTATTGTAAAATTTATTTTAAAAAGTTAATGACACTCTTAAACGCGCGATAAAAGATGAAATTTATAAAACTTGCATTTTTTCTTCAGGTGCGCCAGTTTATCTCTCGTTTCCACATTTTTACAAAGCGGATCCTAAATTGTTAAATGCCGTTGACGGACTCAAGCCGATGGAAAACCTACATCAAACATATTTCAAAATTCAACCGGTAAGCAAAACACGAAGACAAGTCTTAAAAATTTGTTCACATCAATAACAAATTCATGTATCAAGTTCAGACTGATCATGAGAATAAATAATAGCATTAAAATAGAACGCCTTATATGTTTTATTCGCATCACTTCAAAATTTGATTTCTAAGATCTAAAATAATTTGGATTTAAAATACGCTTATTTTTGCTTTTAGAAACTCGGCGTGCCCATCGAAGCAAAGGCTCGCGTTCAGTTGAATCTAAAGGTAGAGCGACAACGTAATATTGCGGTGGTTAAAAATTTCCCTGACATAGTTTTCCCCATTATGTGGATCGAGGAGGGTGTAGAAGAGCTCACGCCGTCCATGAGACGATTGATCTATCTTGCGACCACGTTCGCCGACATCGCTGCACCCTGTGTCACATACGGTATGATTCTAGTCGGATTGACGGTCATCATTACAGTGTTTGTAAAGGCGTACAACAGTCCAGTGTTGACTCACGAAGCGATCGAGCTCGGCAAGAGGACTATCAGGAGAGGCTCGTCCTTCCTGATAACCGGGCAAAATCGTCTGTTGGCTGGTCGAGATTCTTATGTCCTGTTGAACAATATCGATCTCGAGGAGAAGCAGAATATGATAGAGATCTGATGGAATATGTTGCTCCGTGAATTTTAATGTTGACTGGAAATGCTAATATTATATAAGTAAGTGTGCGCATTAATTATAATAGTGGTAATATGAGCGATAATTAATGACGCTTAGTCTCGATTCTTGAAGTAATTTAATTATGACATTAATAAAAGATTTATTAAAGAATGATGATATATGCTGAAACTAGAATCGCGATTTTAGATAACAGAATTTAAGAATCTCATAGCAATTAAGATAATTAGAATAAGAGGTTTAAAGATTTAAGGCTCATTGTATGATTTAGGATTCAGAAAATCTAAATAATTTATGAGTCAATTAACTGGGATTTTTATTAGCATATGATTTAAGATGTTTAGAGTTCGAAGAATATAAGAATCATGAAGATTTTCATGAAGAATACAAGGAGATTTTTTTCATCGACTTTAATTGTCAACAAAATGTATATATTAAAAGTTTTTATACAATTCTTTCATGAAACTTGCCGAAAGGTAACGAATCTTTTAATTAATCTAATTATGGGTGTATTTGATTTTTTTTATTATTTTACCAAATATAATCATAAACTGCATGAATATCAGTGTGTATCACTAGACTATAAGTAAGATTTAAGAAATCTCGACATTAATTCTTAGATTTATTTAAGAGATTCTCGGAGCCACATACCATCTAATTGGATTAATCCAAGTATTAAGAATTCTAAAGGTTTTTTTTTTCAAGAATTGATTGTGCATAAGATTTACAGTGTATGCATGTTTCATCAAATAAATGATAATTGATTTATTTCTCATCGAAAAAAAGAATCGAGCTAAAAAGTAAATCTAAGCGTCATTAATTAATAATATCGTTGTTAAAAAAATATTGGTTGAGTACCTGCGATATAATATGTGGTAATGTAAAATGCATCTTCTTTGACTGCGTACACCAAAGTCTCTCGCTATTGATGAATAACTATTAATTAACTACAGAATTAACTACAGAATATGCGGAGCCAAAATGTTAAAATTTGTATATTTCACACGAAGAAAGGCTTCCTTTTATTTTACGTGAATTTTTATTTGGATGAAATTTCTAAAGGATGTTTTATTTGCTTAAATGGAATCGAAATTCGCCAAAGAATCCTTCACGATCTTTCACAATGCGTGAAAGTAAATCGATACGATCATTATAATATTTATATAACTACAATAAAATGTTATATATATATATATATATATATATATATATATATATATATTAGCGTTTTCCTTATTAGTTATGGAAGAAAACTTTTTTGGGATCCAACGGACGCTTACGGACGTAAATAATCAGGGATTACCTGATAAAATTTCGCAAAAGATCCCAAAATTATATTGAATATATAAGTGTCTGTGATTCCGTCCTTATTTATATATAATATGCAATTCGCGTTTGAATGGAGAGCAACGAAGAGAAGCTTCATTGGACGAATTGTGCGAATAGACAAAATCTTTACTCTATCGATTGTGGTAAGATTGTGCGTGACAATGCTTCTTCTCAACGTGTCCCACTCGTACTCGGCCATAATCTAGTGCAATATTAGTGATCGTATGTTAAGTATACTATTGCCAACAATCGTGTGGCGAAACAATATCGAACTAGAATTAAGGTCAGTTGCGCCGATAATATTTTTTGCGTTACATATTACTATGCTAACTATCCGGTTAATGATTTAGACCGCAGATCCAGCTACAGAAGAACATTAAAAAGGCACAAATTTAGATTAATCTCTGATTACTGTTAATCGATGCGTTATAAGCTAAACATGACTTGACGATTAATCAAATGATATATCGAGAATATAATGCGATTATGTGTATTGGTTTTAAGTACTTTTTAATATATCCTGAGAATAAAAAAACATTATAGAGGATAAACTTGTTCTAGCGCGAACGGAATTTTAATAACCGAAATTTAATAAAATATCTTTATCCAAATATTACTGTACATTTTTCACATTCAATTCTTACTCACTTACTCTTAATTTCCTATAGCTATAGATTTAGCTATATGTATATATAGATATAGTTTTCGTCTAAGATTGATATTAAAAATGAAATTAATTTCTATGTAACTTATATTTAGAGAGCCTAGATACAGTCAGTGAATTATTGCTCTTATTTAAACTCTTCGTCGCCGTAACGAGAAGTGGAAATCGATGTGATATATAATGTAGGAGACATCTAAACTAATTCTATTATAAATATGATTGAAGGCAAATTCTTGTTAAATCGAGCTGCAGATTATTGGAGCAGATTTCCGGTTCCACGCGTATTGGTTCCAGCGACGAAAACCTATAAGAGTATTTTATAAAAAATATAATAGATTATATATATAATATTTCTTCGAAGTCTTCTCGATCACAGAACGATGCATGTCTTTGACTAAAAAATACAAAAAATTCATTATTCGATATGACATTCTTATATAAAATTTATATGGGAGAAGATTTATCTCCTCCATGAAATATATATTTAATATATTTTATCAACATACCTTAGCTTTTGGATTCACAGCGCTGCTCGTTTTAGTTCCATTCTCTATCTCTTCTCTCTTTCCTTTAAATAACTTCGCCATTTTAGCTAGAGGGCAACAATCGATTGTGTAATATATTTGCGAGTTTAAATATTCTATTTGAGTTAATATCTGATTTCTCTCGAACGTTAGACATGTTATCTTGCAGGATGAATTCTAATCGATGCTTCTTATTGACCGACTCTTACTTTTTACGAGAAATAAGGAAGAGATTGAAAAAAGCTTATTTCACCAACCTGTTCGCGGTGCCGGAGATTGCACCACATCAGCATCGTCCTGCGCGCCATCCGTCTCCACTTTCTCTAATTCTCCACCATGTATTTCCTCCTTGATTTTCTCCACCGAATTCTCAATAACTTCTGTAATCTTCTCAGTGATGTTTTCTGAAATTGTTGATTTCGATTTTTCAGGCGACTTTAGGCTTGAATTTTTGGGTTCGTCATTCGTTTTCGTCTCTTCCTTTTCGTCCTTTTCTTTTTCGCTCTCATCTTTTTTGTCCTTTTCTTTTTCGCTCTCATCTTTTTCGCACTCTTTTTGTTTGTGTTCATTCTTTTCGCGTTCATCTTCTTCATTTTCCTGTGAGGAATTGTTCTCATTGCCCATATTTTCGACACTTCCGGATTTTAGTCTCGGTGGTTTCGGCGGTGGTATGGGATTCGTTTCTTGTTCCGTTTCTTCCTGTATCCTCGAAACTGCTGTTTCTGTGCATGACTCCTCGGCATCTTGCATTGTTATTTCTTCGTTTATATTACTTTTCTCGCTCTCATCATTTTCTTGAACATTTTTACTTTCATCATCAATTTTATCTTTAGTATCTTCGTCATTCTGCGTACTTTCTTTATTCTTTGATTCATCTTTCTCATCATTCGGTTGTGATTCTTCCACTTTAGTATTTGGGGTTTGAACTTTTTCTTTTGGAGTTTCTAATGGACTAGTTTCTGAACATTTCTTAGGACTCGCAATTTTTTCGTCGTTTGTCGAAGACGAAATTTTTTCATGATTGACAATATTCGTACTTTCCTTTGGCGAATTTTTTGAAGAATTTGGTGAATTTTTTGAATTCATTTCAGTATTATGTTCAGTATCGTTATGTTTCGGTGTTTTATCGACATGATGTGAATCATCTTTTTCATGTGTCGATTTTTCCGTAGTGTCCACTCGATGATCATTCTGTATATTTACAGGAAGCTTTAAAGGAGGTAAAGAGCTTTTGTTCTGTGTGGCTGACTCCTGAAATTAACGAATAACATTCGTAAATAATACTAAATTAATGGTATTAATTTAACTTAAAATTCAATTAATAATACATTAAAAAGATAAATTAAAAAATTTAATTTAAACGATTAATAATAATTTTTGTTATAAATTCATGTATAATATAGTTATATTTACAGTGGAATCTGATTGCGATTGAGAATCCATCTCATGTCTTCGCCCGACCAATATCGTATGACATCCCCCGCATGCGACCTATAAAATAATAAAACAGATTAGAATCGAATAAAAGGACGATAAGTATTCGTTTATACAGAACAAGCAAAATTACATTCGTGATAAAAAGTTCCTGATATTTAGCAGCAAATGTTACTTCGTGAACATTATTTTCATTTTCCTCCAAACCTAATTTACCGTGCCGTCCATCACCACAAGTGAAAAGTTTGCCAAGTTCTGCCAGCAATAATTAATACAAATTATTAATAAGATTATTTAAAAATCAAAAAAATGCGACAGTAAAATTTTAATTACCAGTAAGTATAGCACTGTGACTTTCACCGCAAGCAATCTTAACGATCTTTTCATTTCGAAGAGACCCGCGTGCAAGATGTTTCGGCATATGTATCTCGTTGAGGTTCGTGCCCATTCCAAGTTGCCCACTAGCATTACTGCCGGAGCAGTAAATGTTACTATTTTCTGACAATTTAAACAATTAATCAATTTACAGATACTTAACTATGTTAATGTTGTATTTTAGAAGATTAAAATGAAGAGATACGAAATGTGCAAATTCTTCTATCCAATATATATATTGATGTTAAAATTTATCAATCTCAACCTGCTAATACGAGTGTATGATGACCACCGCAGGTGACATGAATTGCTGGTGTCGGCAATTGCATTTGCTTCGGGGCGACTTGCGTAGAAAAATTGACATCGATTCCAAGTTTACCGCTTTCCGATTCGCCACAAACATAAACGAGACCGCTCTCTGGAAATAAACTGTGTGATGACTGAATTGCACACACGCTAATATATTTTACAACTTCTCATGTCCATGCGAATCATTCTAAGCGCACTACAGAGGAAGCGATTTTAAAATTTTCGCGAAACGTATGTTACGACGTTTCAGAATCCTCAAACAGAGTTTCGAAACGGGATTTTAGAATTATTAGATCAACTTCGTCTTGAAATGTAATAATTTTTAAACGTATAATTTTTTTGATGTTAAAAGAGAGAAATAAAAAATATAAAAGAGAATATAAAAGAGAATATAAAAGATATGTATATTGTTTCGTAGAAAATACGAGTACTCGTATAAAAATATTTTCGTCTACTTTTACATACTTTTACATAATTCAAGACTATTATATAACTTATTACTATACGTAGAAATAAAATTATTACCAGTCAAAAAGGCTGAATGATAATATCCCGCGCTGATTTCTTTTACCGGTTCAGGAATAGGGACCTTTGTAGGTTTGTTAACAAGGCCCGAAACCCCCGGCAATCCCAACTGCCCCTCTAGGTTACTTCCCCAGGCAACAACTCCTCCGTCGCTGGTCAAAATCATCGAATGATGCGATCCTGCTGCAATTTGGACGATTCTAGGCCCAGCGAGTCCGCAATCGTAGATCAAGATTGGAGAACTAGAGCTATCGCCTATCGCGGAATTTTCTCGGCCTAGTTGACCTTCTTGATTACTGCCACACGCAAAGATTTTCTGGGCTCCTGAAGGGAAAAAAACATCTCAAAATATAAAACGTGTACATGAATAATATATTCCATGATTTAATTATCAATTAAAATTTTGTTTCTATTTTTAGCAAATTAAAAAATAATTTAACTTTTGATTAACGAGAAATTAAGCCAGACTGATAAAATCAACAGTGAATACATTTTCACAAACTATTTGCCCGAAGCGGTTTTAATCTGTTGACAAATTAACATCTCGAATTCCTATCTGGAAAGTTAGCAAAGTGACGTGCCATTTAGGAGTCCTTATCACGTTGATCCCTTCAAATGAGAACAAGTTTGAAGTTGAATGACTCGGCAGATATTCGTCGAAGTTCGTGGCACGCAAAGCCACATATAGAAACGGCATGCTCGTTTAATATCTCGCATCTATTAATGACAATTGTGTACGTACTTACATATAAGGAATATTTCAAATATTGCGCATTACATTTTATATTATTTTGGAGCTGATTATTTCGTCGAGATAATTTTTCATCTCTCACAATTTACAAAACTCGTTAGCGTAACATTAAAACGAATGACATAGTCAATTTCGGTATATGTAATCGAGAGAAAGTATACTTGAGATATTTGTATGTGAATTATTCGTCGTTGCTCACCTGTACATATTAAAGTGTGCGCTCTTCCGCATGCGACGTGTGTGACTTTTTCTGGTTTCAAGACTATAACAAATGAGATTTTTATTAAAATCATGAGTGGCACTTAATTAAACGAACGATTTTGCAAGAAATTATTCGCGATATATCTAGCGAGTAGAAATTTCTAAAATTACAAACAAAGAATGAGTTTAAAAGAAAGAAATATGTTTTTATAAATTGTATTTATATATAATAATTTGTCAGCACAAAAAATGTTGCGACATTTAAACATATAAAACGCAGCAATTCTTTTATCTTTATATCAAGGTTTATTTGCTACACTTCGATAAGCAATTACAAACTTTTTACACATGAAGGTTTGCTGATATGATTCTTGTGACCCAGACCCAGTTGACCCCAATCGTTACTTCCGAAGACAAAAAGCCTGCCGCTCTCTGAAATAAAAAGCAAGCAAAGGCGTTCCAAGCAAGCATGAAAGATATGTTGGTAAATCATAATTTCGTAGAAACTATTCCTGAAGTTAAAGTGATATCTTTACTTATATAATATGAAGAATTCAAGGAATTTAAAATCTAAAAGTATCTTGAAATGTAAATTCACCAGCAATAAAGTTAATTACGTAAATTTAATTATGATACTAAAAATAGCAATACAAAGAAATATTAATCTTACGCAAGAGTAAAATACATTCTGAGATCTTTAGAAAAAATCCCAAAAATTTACAGAAATTGTAAACATATTTACAAAATCCTAAATTTTTTAATAATATTTAAATTAATAAATAGAACAAGTGAAACAAAATTTGCATCGCGAATGGGTGAAATAAGTGAGATATTAATATTAGCGAGCAACTGCGATGAGAATAATACACAGTAAAAAATTTTGTGTTAAATTTAACATATTTCACATGTCCCAATTTATCCACTCTATTTTAATGTTAATTTAACAGAAGGCAAGTATGTAAATAAATAACACAAGTAATATGTTTAAAAATTAACACAAAGGTATAACACAAACTTTATCTGGAAATAAAGTTTATGTTAAATTAACATATTTATAATGTTAAATTTAATTAAAAGAAAATGTTATTCTTACACTTTTATGATAAATAACAGAAGAGATATATCGATTTAACATATGGAAACTGTTATAGAGAGAAAAATAACACAACTTATCTGTTCATTTTAACATATAACATATTTCATCAAAAATTCATGCATTTGCATATTAATTGTGTTGTTTTGATTCTTAGAAACGGTAAATATTAATTCAACGCAGAAATGTCAAAATAACGCAATGATAATATGTTACATTAACATAAGAGTATGTTAAAAATTTAACACAAAAATTTTTATACGAGAAAATTTTAACAAAAATACAAAATGTTTTTTACCGTGTAATACAATAATTTTATCTAATTAATCTATTATCTAATATCTAATTAATAATTTTATTTTTTTTATTTTACTAATGAAACATTTTTGTATGAAAAGTAATAACATAATAAATTTTTTCGAGACGCGTTGAGCTAATAACACTAACACTGTCGGTTAGACTGACCATTGCGTGTTTAATATCGATTTACTGGACAGTGGATATTCCTATGTGAACATAGCTCCAACTATATATATCCCTTGCATGCTACAGAAGCTGTAAATTATATCAACCCGAATTATATGCCTTCATATTATAGAGTCTATAAATTTTATAGCATAGTAATCAAAATTCAAGACTTTAAATATGTCTTATCAATGAAAATCGAACTATAATGCAAATATTCGAGTAAGAACGAAATGATATTTTTTAAATAAATAAATTTATAAAAGATAAGAGAGATACATTTTTCCAACAGAAATAATTTTATTGATTCAAGTTATTTTTTTTGTAAACATTGCTCATGAATGTGTGATTTACTGTCAACTCTATATTTCATTGATTAACGATATTTGATCACGAGCATGCGAACTTTATCATCAAATTCTTTCTTATATCTCGACGAATCAAATTAGATGCATTTTGAAATATGTTCAAATTAATTTAAGCCAATATATTTGCTATTATTTCAAACTCAAACAAATTTAGTCTAATAATAAGTCTAACTTGAGATGACAATATATAACATTATATAATAATACCATTGATGATCTTGATGATTTAATTATATTTATCGATTTAAACCGAATTTAAATTAATTTAGATTTAATTTAGATATTGTGTATTGTGATGAGTACTTCCTTAAATTGAATTGTATTCTCGATCTTTCCTTGTTAATTATTAACACGGAAGCCTGCGCTACTAATTTCGAGACGGGGCTAGCCGAGCGTCCGTCGCGATCTTTTGGAGAATTCTAAATCTTTCGTGTGTATTGTCGATATCGAAAATTCTTATTAGAGCGGTGCGGATTACTGCACCTGGCACCCATATATAATTTTTTAGAGAAACATTTTTCTTTCGTAAGAGAGGATCGCGCCGAAGGTGTGCCGTGGACCAATAACACCAGCCAGATCTCATTATCAGCCCTAATTAACAAAATAACGGTCACAAATTGGCAAAATATCACTGATTAAAGCAATAATATGATTTTACCTAAGATCAATGAATTGTTTTTTAGTGAAAAAATACTTACATCTTGCATTTCCATCTTATGTTCCACTGATTATGGCAGAAGATTTTGTCTAACTAATATGCAATTGTATTTCTTTATCTCTTAAAATATAATAAGCCCACAAAAAATGTACAAGATTCTTGGTCAAACTCAGATATTTCTTTAATAAAATATATTGCTATGAATTTTTTTATTTTGTAATATTGCAAGATGCATTTTAAATATCACTGCTTAAACAGCCACTACTACTAACTAATTATTTCAGTGCGATTTCATTATTTGCAATGCTATATTCATAATTAAAAGCATTATTTATCAGTGATAATACACTGATTCTATTTAAGAGACTACCTTCAATAGTTCAAATTTGATCTAGTCTGGTTCAGACCATCTTGTTTTCAGACGGACAATAACTGTTCTTTTAGCTAAATTCTAAATTTTATAAAAAAGACATGCATAAAACTTACGGCAAATAACGGCAGAATGCTCATCCCCGCATTCAATGGCGACTACCGGATCCTTACGTATGAAGAAGTGTGACGCAACATTGTCCGCAAATCTGCTACGACCGATCGTGAAGACCGCTCCAGTCTCTACAATGCGCAAAGATCGATACAATCGTTAAATATTGAAGGCAAGATGAATCGAGGTTTTCTATATTTGAACGAATTTCTTCGATTGACAGATCTTACATTCAAAGATCTGCGCTCTGAGAAGTAATGAGATTGTACGAATTATTTTTTATTTGAAATCTCTCTCTTATTCAAAAGTTTATACTTGAAATTATGCAACATCTTCGTGGACTATACTCTATATATATGTAGCAGAGAATATCTCTCCGTTACGACGTTATTATTTGCAACATGCAAAATTGCAATCGTGAATATTATTCTGATACAAGGTTATAAATATACATGTTATACATCATCTATATTGCACGTGGAACCACTTGTAGCGATCTTTAATCTCCGACTCAAGCAAAAGTATATAATGACTTTAAACGCAACATGTATAGTATAATAGGAAGTATAATTACATAGATAGCTTTCTAAAATTTTCCATACATGTAGCTGTCTATATTTTACCATTATTTCTAGAAAAAAAATAAATTGTTGTAGAAAATAAATATTGTTTAATTATGTTGTGCAGTATAAAAAAAGTAAATAGAAAGAATTTCTCAACAAATTTAAACTTAATTATCAACATCTCTCATGGATTTTTCTATTTTTGAACACTGTGGGAGGTGCATTATAGATAGCTTGAGAGTAAATTTTATCGTTGCATAATCTTAGCATAAATTAAGTTTAAAGCCAACGCGAAGTAAAAAGGACCGGAAAGGCGTTAAGACACCGAATGCTATTTCAACACGAAATTAATAGCGGCATTTTGGCCTCCCTTCGCGCAAAGGTCAATAACGCAAAACTAGCGATAAATCCTTCGAGATTTACGCTTGCGTCTCTCTTATCAAAAGTTCAAATAGCGGCCTTATGCATAATTCATTACGCATCTGTCCTTCGTCGGAAAGCAACGCTAACTATCGCAATGTAAATTATCCCGTTAGAGACTTTTCGTGTGAAATATTGTGCAAAAAATATTATAATACTCGGACCTTCTGTCGAGCTTCTAAATTCTTTCTGAGATTTTTAATAATTTTTTAGATTGTTAAATCCTCGAGTTTTCTCAACTTCTCAGATTATTAATTCCCGAATTTTAAGATATTCAAATTAGGGGACTTTTAGTTCTTATTAAATATCTTTATTGCTTTAAATTTTAAAATTTTTAGATTTATCTTACATTACTTCTAAATTTTTTTTAGTTTATAGATCTCTTAAATTATTATTTTAATTATTAGTATCATAATTTTTTGGAATTTGTAAGGGGAGAAATCATAAAATACTGAGAAAATGAAAACAAATATATTCGGCTTGGTAGAAGATTAATAGCACCCGAAGTTTGCATATTTTCTGGGGTTATTGACCTGGAGGTCGATTAAATTGCTCTACAAAATACATACGTATTGTCTAATCAAATAGTCGATAGCGATTGTCGCGTGAATAATAATGTAATTGTGCAACATGTGAAATATTTAAAATGCAAATAAACTAATCTTGAAAAATATTAAAATTAAAATATTATCAAAAATAGAAATATAACAAAAAATTATATATTTTATGTATTATAAATTATGTATTTATATATTTATGTGACAAAAAATATATGTCAGACAAATGCAAGAATGTAAAAGAGATACAGAATTATAAAAAATAAAAATAGATTAATTTATAAGCAATATATATATGTGTAAAAAATATTCTTTTCACAAACATTATTGACAAGAAAGGAAATAATGATTCTTGTAATATATATAAAAATTAATGCTCTCTTTCATTGGTTTTGATTAATATTATGTTAAACTCATGTTTATGCATTATTATCGTAAACATACGAGGTTATTAAATAAATCAAACGGCACTCCGAGAAATTTTTTGCTCCAACTTGTAATAATAACATATAACGTGATAACGCCAGTAAGTTAATGATACGAATGCACATACATGACTCGCATGTAACTACAATGGCATTACCCGATTAATGGTCGGATTGTGCTGGTAGCAGCATGCTCTTAAACAATTCACTACTATCCGTTATTCAGCATATTTAACGTCATGCAAATAAAGCGTATTATAATCTATTTTACAAACTAATTTTACAAATAATTTACTGCTAATTATTCGGTTGCGAGAATATATTTCCGTTTTACAAAGTATGTATATTATAAGAATGAATAGAATGTGCAGTAAAATATTATAACTTCAAGCATGTTTGAAACTTTTGCACAAGCTTCTTGCGGCTTAATACCAATAAATCTATTTGTCATCGAGTGACTATAAATTTCACTCGTATTTTATGCGCCGTGCGTACGTGTTCGTGATCGTTTGATAAAGGCGACAGATATCGATTCTCATTACTTCACGCCGACAACCGGCACGGGGCAAAGCAGGGGTACGTCGTGCGAGGGTTTTAATAATGTTAGGGGAGTCGTGTCCGCGCGTCAGTTTCAAGAATCGATCGCGGCCGGCGTTCTACGCGATCTAGAGTAATTCGTGCCGATCAATTTGCAGTGCGTGACGAATTTATGCGTGTGCAACATACTGTCTTGTAGGTGCGTGCGTCACACAATATCTCAGTGTTTTCCTTTCGTTTTACCGGGTATAGTCTCTATGTCTGGCAGGCCCATGTTTTTATACCTTGCGCCGCGCAACTTGTAGCCGACTGACCGCCAGGTAAACGGGCATGCTCGCCGATGCTGGCGCTTTCGATGGCGACCACCATGTATCCTAGCAACTGGAAATCAATTTCTAATGGCACAACCGCGTCGCTGTTTTCTGCACAATAAAGAATAGGAATGATCGGCATGGTTCTCCAACGTTGTCGAAAATGATCGACTTTGACGATTCTAGCGTTATTTTTGAATTTTAAATCGTTAATAATTAATTTATACTCGTATTATGGAATTGCAATTTTATTATTTCGTAGTTTAACATAGTTCATATAACAAATAAATGCACAAATTGTACAGGTTATACAAGTTAAAATTAAGGATAAATATTCATGTGCACTATTATATATATTCGAAAATATAAAATTAGAATATTATTTTTAAGTATTATAATTAGGAATTTATAATTGATGATGTGTGTATCATGTATGAAATAAATTGATTCTTCTATAAGATCTATGTATAAATCATGTTCGAAAAATACATGTTTTGCACAATATTTCAAATGTTCCTTCCTAATGTTCCAAATTCCTTCAAATGTTCCATTCTAATATATGTATTTTTCATATGTATATATGTCTTCATAACTGTATATGTATAATATAATTACAAAATATTATTATTATTAGCAAATTGTACAATTCTCATATATAAAATTTACAAGCTGTTTTTATATATAATCATTATGTACCTCTGTCCAACGCAACCTTTTCTTGGAGTCCTCGGATTGTTATAAACTGCCACATTTCTAAGATCTGGTTCAATTCACAGGTATATTTCTTTTTGTAGTGTTCAGCGGAATACCTCTTCTGGCCATTTGTCTTAGAGCATTCTTAAAAGATATTCAAATCGCTGAAGTCTCTTCTCGCTATTCTCTCGATTATTGTCTCTTTTGCTTTATTTTATTCGAAATTATTAATATAATATAATAAATATTAATGTATTAATATATTAATTATTATAATAAATATAATTGTGGTATCTCTTTTAATCTGACTCTATCCCTTCGACCTATCCGGTATGGATGATCTTACTAATGGCCATAACTACGGCCATATTTAAGATCGTCTTAAGTAAGTTGGCAAATATTATACAACTATTTTAAAAACTGAACGAAATCTTAAAACGCAACTAAGATTACTTAAAATGATTTTAAACATAAGAATAATCTATATGAATATCGGCGTACGTTATCGCTGGCATAGCTCTCAGGTTTGTGAAAGTACGCAAATCTCTTTATCTGCCAAATGCCTTTGTTAAGGAGAAGATATTGAGGAGGAAATTTCCCTTCCTAAAAAAATTTTAATGATCACTTAATAGCTCTAACAATCCCTCTTTTTTACATTATTTTATTTTTGATGATCACTTAATAGCCCTAACAATCCTTTTTTTTTACATTATTCAATTTTTTAATTTATTTTTAGTTTACATTATTTATTTAATTTATTTCACTTTTCGTTTTTTAATTTTAAATAATTTCTTTGACAAATTTGACTGATTTTAATATATGCATCGTCAAAATAATGAGATACCGAGGCATTTATTATTACTTTAGACGGCACACTTTATAATTGATCCGATATAAAACCTTTTGTTATTTTTTATCACATCATCACATTTGCGCTGAAAATGGCCCAAGAATAGGGTCGAAACGTCGCTAACTTTTCTTTATAATTTGTTCCATACTTATTTGATTGTATAATAAATAATTGTGTTATAAGATCGACACTTGACTCGTATTGCCATTAAAACTGATTTGTTCAATTTTATATTTCGAGTCTTATATTTTTTTTATTAATTATAATTATTGAAATATTTATTAATCTATTTTCCCTAATATTATTTAAACCTACATTTCCTGATTTTTTAAAAGATACATAATATATTAATCACCTAAATTAATCACATAATAGTCCTAACAATCCTCTACTTCTTGAAAGGAAAATTAAAAAATCTTAATAATCACCTGATAGCCCTAACAATCCTATTTCTCGATTAAGTGAAATTATTCGAGCCTATCTCTAATCACGTATATTTTAAATTACGTGCCTTAATTACATTCTCTAACCGCGTGCCCTAACTGCGTGAATAAATGTCCGACATTACGTGCTATTGTACGTAAATCTTTTCTTCAGGCCAGTTGAATTTACCTTTCGTTGATCCTGGCCACTTTCTCGTTCGATCTCTAATCAGAGATCGAAAAAAGAGATAAACACTCCTTCTTTTGCCGATTAATTACCGGCAAATGAGCATAAATATTTCACGCTCATCAAAACGATCGCTCGATTTTACGATCGTTCGTTAAATATTTGAATATAATTTTATTTTAACTCAAATGAAGCCAAATTAAGCCAAATAAAGCCAAATTACAAATTTCTGTATATTATATTTTGTAATAAAATATAAAATTAATGTGTCTGTATAACTTTTATCATATTACAAATTATTTAATTAATTAACCATTTGGCTTTATATTAAGTTAAAGTTTCAAAACAATATCTACAAACAAATTCTACGATGGATGAGCTATAAGAAATTAGAATAAAATAAGTGCGCGTTATAAAAATAAAAGTAGCATCAAAAATTGATAAAATTGATAAAATTATTAATGCATGCTCTTTATTTAATAAATTAGACAAAATCTTTACAAAAAAATTTTCTTTTCTTAATTCTTTTTTTTGAATTAATACATCAATACATTTTCGCAATAGGTGCAAAGCATTTCGAAAGAATTTATTAATAGTTATTTAATTTAATCTATCCTAACTCATCCATTTTAAGGCAACGGATTTATTACAATCTACAATCTACATCTACATCTACATCTACAATGTCTACGAATCCGTTATCTTAAAGTTAAATAAAAGTTTTTCTCACTCACCGGCACTGATGCGCAACAGCGGAGTTATTGAAGCTACGTTGTCTATAACATACAAATATAAAATTTATTTATAATAATGTTCGCAAAATGCAATCAATATTTCAAAAAATTTTTATCGTTCGAAATTTTATATCCGATGTGTAAAATAATAAACAGAGATAAACACGTGTGGAAAAATTTTATAAATTTGTGAGACGGTTCTTTAAATAGAAAGTTTTATATGATTTTTATAAAAATCTTTTTCTCTATTCTCTTTAATTTATTTAAATAATAAGACCGAATTATTATCCATACAATTTATATACCAATTGATATATAAATAACAAATATTCACCATCAGGTTGCTCCGCCGATGCAAGATGCCTCTTCCAGGCCTCCTCCTCCTCTCATGTTGTTGGCGCGCAAACTTTTAACGACACTCCCGCACTCGCGAGTGATATTTTTATGTCACTATTTTCATTATTTTACGCGCGATACTGAACGGCACTCCCGCACTATTTCGATGCGATTAAACATTTAATATTTGATCGCGCGATGTATATACTTAATATGTATGACAACGCGAGAATATTACAACGCGAAAATGCGACGCGTTGACGAAGCGCTTGCCGTCCGCGGCACGTTGACGGCACCGACGACGCGAAAGGGTACTTAGCTTCCCTTTCAGGCACCTTAAGATTTATCATAAATTGAAAAATTTAAGCTAAACCTCAAGGCACCATCCAAGTATTAAGCCCTCCCACCGCGACAAGGTGTACCCTATGGGAGGGTTATATTATATTATATTATATTTAATTTTATATATAATATAATATACATATATATATATATATATATATATATATATATATATAATTAATTTTATATTATACTATATAAATTTTATAACTTATAAAAATATTAATTATTTATATCTTATTGATTCATCCTTTCCCGAGACCTTGTTTTTTTCTTTTGTTTTACTTTGTCCTCGTGGCATTCCAATTCTGGTTGCAGTCATTTGAATTCCACGTTGCACTTACACTCATTCATGAAAAGTTCCTCGTTGCACTTGCAATTGTAGTTAGAGAAAGAATTTTATAATATATGGAACGTTTCACATCACTACCTCACTGCTCGAGAGCCATTGACCGAATGATCGTAAGTCAGAAACATTATCACAGTACTGTTTATATCGTCAAAGTTATGTGAAGAAGGAATTTGATAATATGTGAAACATCTCTCTCGTCACTACTCAAGGTTTCTGTGCGAATGATAATAAAGCCGTGTCACATATTAACAATAGCGCGATACTGTTTATCAAGGTCGAACACGGTGTTATTGATAAGTCTCTCGTTGCTGAAATATTTTCTGTAATATAAAATATTTGTGCGCGGAATATTAAATTATAGAAGTATTTTAACTTATCGATTAAGATTAATTGATTATTTATTAAATCATTTATCTTGAAGTCTTTTGATATAATTATTTGCATCTATAATTCAATTATTTTACTTCGTGTTCTCTCACAATTATATTATATCCCCCCCAATTATATTTAGATTGTCAAGTAGAATAATAAAGTAACACGGATGGAATATACTTGTGACTCTAAATATTAAAATAATAATTATTGTTCGTAAAGATTGCAAATATCGATGTGATTATTTAATATGTTGGATTCCTATCATTTTATCGATTCTTGATTAAATTGTATATTGTTTAATATTGTTTATAATAAGCATCAATATGATCAAAAGATCATAATATATTTAATTCTTTTGTCCCCTTTCATGTATCCCCTGTTTCAATTTTTATTCGCAGTAATGAATGATTACGATTCGATAAATATTTATCGTTGCGATACAGCTTTATGTTCAAATTTTTAATTATTAATATTTATAGCAAATTATGTTTAATACTAATTCTAATCATGTTTAATACAAAAATTACAATATATGAAGCGTTTCTCACTACTACTTTATTACTCGAGAGTCATCGTGCGAATGATGACAAAGCCATAACGTATAGTGTGCTACTGTTTATATTTTATATTGCTAAAGCCGAACACCGTATTATCGGCAATTCGTTGAAATATTTTATATACTATAAAATATACACTAACGCGAAATATTAAATAACAGAAATACTTTAATTTATTGATTATTAATTAAACAATTTCTCACGGAGCATTTCGTTACGTTAATTATTTGCATCTGTAATTCGATTGTTGAATACTTCGTGTTCTCTCATAATGCAAATAACATTTAGATTGTCAAGTAGTTGTACGATAAAGTAACATGGGTGAAATATATTTGACTCTAAGTATTAAAATAATAATTATTGTCTGTAAGAGATCACAATGATCAAAGTGATTATTTAATATCTTGTATTCCTATCATTTTATCGATTCTCGATTAAATTGCATATTGTTTAATTAATAAGGATTGAGTATATTTGAAGCATTGGTCGAAATATATTTAATTATAATATTATTAAAGAAATATTATAATAAGCATCGATGATCGAAAGATTATATTTATTTCTCTTATCCCCCCCTTTTATGTATTCCCTGTTTCAATTTTTAATCGCAGTAATGAATGATTACGATTCGATATAGATTTATCGTTACAATATAGTTTAATATCCTTAATTAATTTTTATTTATATTTAAAATTTATACTATGTCCAGATAATTAATGTTACACTTTGCCTCAATTTATCGCAAAATATTGTATCGTATCATATCGTATCGTATCGTTAGCATATCATTAGCATATCGTTAGCGTATCGTTAGCGTATCGTTAGCGTATCGTTAGCTTAATCAATATATTTTGTTAAAAATAATTAAAATTCAATATTAAGACAGAGCGATGTCATGGCTTGCTTTTAGGTGATCCCGGAAAGCGATACTTCCTCTATGGACATTGAAAATGTAGACATGAACTGCAAAGCCAATGTTCATGAATGTTCTCAGAGGGTAATATATAATGTGAACAATTTCTGGTTTTGTCCCGTGCTATGTGCACGAAATGCCGATTGGTCGAAATTTATTTAATTCTAATAAATATTATTAGGGAAATTATTATAATAAGCATCAATAATCGAAAGATCATAACAAAATTAATTCTTTTATCTCTTTTTATATATAATACATATCCCCTGTTTCAATTTTTATTCGTAGTAACAAATGATTGCGATTCGATAAATATTTATCGCAATACAGTTTCATGTCGTTTAAAAGTTAATTAATTTTTAATTATTAATAATTATATCAAATTCTGTTTCGATACTAATCGTAATCGTACTTAAAAAGATTTGACAATATGCGAAGCGTTTCACACTATTTTATTGCTCATTGTGTGAATGATAAAACCGCGTAATAAAATCGTGTAACATATTAATAATAGCGCGATACTTTATACTGACAAGGTCGAATACCGTGTTATTGATAATTTGCGTCGCCGAAATATTTTATGTAATATAAAATATATTGTTCGCGAAATATTAAATTATAGAAATATTTTAATTTATTGATTAAGATTAATGGATTATTTATTAAACAATTTATCACGCAGCTTTTCATTATGCTAATTATTTGCTTCTATAATTCGATTATTTTACTGCGTGTTCTCTCCGTGATAATCCAAATTATATTTAGATTGTCAACTTAAACGATAAAATAACACGGATGATTTCGTATACGCCGTATTTTTAATTAGAGATAAGATAATGTGAAAAGGGTGCAATAAGAATGCAACAAGAATGCGAAAAGGAAATCCGGAGCACCATAAAAGTTTTCGCGAGATTTTGTTTGTCGATAAAATCCGTTTTCTATTGGACTCAACAATCGAGAAATTATGATTATTGACTATCGATCCAGTCTGCATGGATTATTTAGCTCACAGGCCGCGTGGATTATTTAGGTCAAAAAATTCGGGATACGACCGATGTGTACGTGAAACATATCACGCGGATATTACAGAAGTAAAGGCCAATAAATATGAAAGCAAATTAAGTACAAATACAATCAATTAATCGAACTTTTACAGATTTATTTTTATAATTTATATAAGGCTAAAATAATTGATTTTTTAAAATTAATTATTACGCGCAATCAATTTTTCTTATTATCTTTTAACCCTTTCGCTGCGGCAAAATCTAATGCAGAGTATGATAGAGCACATATTTAGCCATTAAATAACGAAACTTTTTGGTGTCGTGCATCGTGTATCAGTCACTAATATAAAAATATTTGAATAATAATATAAATACTGAGTGTTTTAAGGCGCCAACAGTATACAACTATCAAAATTTCAAAATGCCTAAGGGCACCTACATGAACGAAAGAATTAAACAGATATTTAATATTGTTATTGCATAATTATTGCAAAAATTTTTTTTCAATATATATTTTTGAAAAATATAATTAATAAAAAATTATAATTTTTATATAAAGTATTTAAATAATTATATTATTCATTGAAATATTTCATAAAATATGCGTTAAAGAGTATCTATATAAAAATATCAATTAATACAGAAATATTTTATTATAGATCTCTAAACATTTTAAATTTTAAAAATTATTTCTAAATATTTTAAAACAAAACTAAGGTCCTCTATTTCGTTGTATATACTTTGTATTATATGTATAATAATTGTGGATATAAATCACATTATCTTGAGAAACTAAAGAATAAACCGATAATGTATCTATTTTGAAAATGACATAAATATAATCAATTTATAAATTACTTACAACATTGAACCATCAGCCGATGCTTTTTCCTTTTTTTTCCTCTTTTGTTCATCTCTTTTGCTGTTTCCTCGTAATACTCACACTTATTCGCGAAAATACGATTAATTATAATTAATCTTATATATAATTAGATCGCGGAAAACTTTACACTAGCACTTTCGATTACGTAATAATCACTTGAAATACATATTTTATTATATCATAAGAAACCAACTTGAAAAATACAATTTATTCGACTTTCAACAACATCAAAATCAGCTACTTGTACATTGTTATCTGCCGTATGTTATCTGCTTGTATGTTGCCATATAATATGAATCATAAAATTGAAAAATTAAATGAATTAATGAAAAGTCATGATACAACAATCATTCAATTAATAATTAATTTATGCTTGCATTTTAGGAAAATTTAAAGTATTGTATATTTGACTTTAAGTATTGTTAAATAAATAATTATTATTCATAAGAATTAATAATCGAAGAATCGTAGTAAAAGTTATGTTTCTATTCCTTTTGCTTTAATTTTGCAATAATGAATGATTGAGTTTACATAAAAATTTACCGTCACGATACAATTTCAAGTCGTTTATCAAACGTTAATTAATTATTTATTGTAATAATCACAGCTAATTATGTTTCGATATTAATCGCGATCGCTTTAGTAAAAAAATGTAACGATTATACGACGCATTTCGTACTAGTATTTCATTACTCAAAGATCGCTGTGCGAATGATAACAAGATTGTAATACGTAAACAATAGTCCGCTCTTTCCCTTCTGCTGCTTGTTTATATTATCAAGGCTAAATACCATACACATACTATATGTTTATTGAAAATTCGTTGCCGAAATATTATACATATATATATATATATATATATATATATATATATATGCGACATATTATTTGTGTTATATTTTATATACATACGATATATATAATTATATATAACTTAATATTCCGCTTATATATATATATATATACATAATATATATATATATATATATATATAATATTAAATTATAAAAATATTTTCAGTTATAAATTAATTATTTATTAAATGATGTATGTATCACGGAACTTTTCATTAGATTAATTATTCGTAATTTATTTTAATTTAATCCAAATTTAATTTAATCGTCAAAAAATAAAACGATAACGTATCGTAAACATAATATATTTGATTCTATGTATTATTAAAGAAATAATTATTCGAAGGATTGCAACGAAATGATAATTATTTTAGAGAAAAAGAGAGAGAGAGAGTCTTGTCTCCCTTACGATTCTTACTTGATTAAGTAAAATAGTAAATGGGGTAAAATAATGCGCTTTGAGATATATTATTATTTTTGTTAACTATTAAAAAATCCGATTAAATATTTTTTTCTGAAAGATACTGCGAATTCTTTTTAACAACGCTTACTTTTTAACACCGAAATAAAAATAACTGTTAAAAACAACTAGATATAGATAGATCATTCATTCATTCATTCATTCATTCATTTATTCATTCATTCATTTATTCATTCATTCAATAGGTCCGAGGATAATTGAAGACTAATGATATTACCGATTGAATTGCTTGCATTGAAGATAATTACGAGTCATTTTAATCATGTAAGTATTTTAATTCGTCGAATTATTTTTTTATTATCTATTTTACATTATCAATAATGTAAAAATCTATTTAACTACAGAACACAGCGTGAGTTTTCTTCCGAATTTTATACTGTAGATTTCAAAATTATATTTACATGAATTGTATATGTATTGTTTATATGATATATGTTTCCACGGATTTTTTTTCATGTAAATATATAAATAAACTATTATAAATTAAGTATCAAAATACAAAAGAAAACAGTAATTATATACATTATAAAAATAATATGTTATAATATAAAATATTAAAATATATTAATTTTCTTTTCTTATCAGTATGAAATTCAGTTTGTTGAATCCTTTTTCTGATTTTTCGTGGCATCATAATATAATAAAATTGTACCATTATGCAACATAAACATAACATATGTTCAATAAACGATATTTCATAAATTACTCATTTTTTATATAGATGACACATTAAACATAATTTACATTATTTAGAAAAATTTATAGCCCAAATTTTTATTAAGTTTTTTCGAATTTGTACGTTAATTTTCATAAGAAAATTCTGACTGTCTTTATTATATGTCATTGGTATTTTGAGAGACGATGAGTCGAGACAGTTTATGGTAGATTCCATATCTTATCTACATATTTTTAGCAGATAATACGTAAGATATCCGCTGGTGGCGTTCGCTGCAGTCTGAGTAAGTCTGTGACATATATCGCGCGTCGGTCATGTAGCCTGGTTTTCTATCAATTATAATATGTGGTTATTGTCATTGTGATTGCATATAAATGCATGAATTATTCATCAAATAACGCAACGATTTCCGCAGAATTTGCTGGTGACATAAATGCTGGTAAGTTTATCGTGGAAATTCTTCTATTGTCGCTTTTCGTCATGTTTCTAACCTTACTTCACCAAATTTTCAAGTAAACTGTTTTGTACTTTCATGTTCTCACTTTTAATTTAGAAACTGTAAGGTAAAAGTTAATAAACTATATAAGCGAAAGCAAAAGGTTTCAGACAGCATACATGTCCAAAAGACGACTTAAAGACGTTTGAAAATTTAGACGTTTTTTGGCCTTTTTGTGCTGTCTAAGATGTTACATTAACAAAAATACAAATGCGAAATATTATGCATATATTTTTAAAAATATTTGCATAATATTTCGCATTTGTATTTTTTTATTTGTATTGTATTTCTCTGTTGTCATAATATAAGGGTTAATAGCTAAGTAATGCTGTTTAGATTAATATGAGGCACAGCTGTCTGCGTTATATAGATGACAGTTTGATTTTCTGCTTCTAAATTAAAACTTATTTTTTATTGATAATTTCTATCTTTTTGCATTACAGATTTGTTATTTGAAAGCTGACTTAATGAATTATTGAAAATGGCTGATACACAATCAAATACAGAAAAGTCGGAGAAACAAGATGATCCTATGAAGAACTATGAGTTTGACGGACAAACTTATATCTATACCGATAAAGCAACAAATATTACCTACAGATTTGATCAGGAGAATACTAAATGGGTAGTAAAAGAAGATAATGTAAGCTCCGATAACAAGGAAAGCTCTAATAGAAAAGAGAAAAAAGAAAATTCTGGTCCTGAAGTTAGTTCAGCTGGTACTTTTGGCTTTGAAAATGATACACATACTTATACAGATCCAAATGATGGTAGCGTTTATTTCTGGGATAAGGAGAAAAGTGCTTGGTTTCCAAAAGTTGATCAGGATTTCATGGCTAGATATCAAATGAGCTATGGTTTTGCGGATACTAGTGCACCACAGTCAAATCCATCAGAGCCAAACCAGCCTACATCCCTTCAGAAAGCCAAAGAAGAAAAGGAACAAAGAAGAACAGAAGCAAAGCGAAAAGCTCAGGAACCGCCGACTTGGTTTGAGGTCGATGAAGCGCATAATACTGCTATTTACGTATCTGGCCTACCTCTGAACATTACCATGGAAGAGCTTACGGAACTCTTTACCAAGTGCGGCCTCATAGCTAGAGACGAAAGAGGGAAAGATAAAATCAAGCTGTACAAAGACGTCAATGGTGAACCAAAAGGAGATGCTCTTTGTACTTATATCAAGGTAAGAATAAGTATATGTTTTCCGACTTTTCTTTATACATATATTAGTTAATACAGTTCATCCTTGATTTATTTCTTAATATTACTAATAATATTAATTATAAGAATTCATGTATCAATATTTTATATTTTATTATACATCATTAAATACACAGGGGTTATATATCGATGATCCTATGTTGATATATTTACAAACGAAGCGGTGAAAAAATAACGAACATGAAAGAGTAGATTGAAATATGAAGATACGAATTATTATATTCATTATTATACGAATTATTTTACTTTTTGATTCACTATCTGATTACATAATATAAAACCTACGATTAGCATATATTGTGAAATAATGATTGAATAATAATTGTAGATTATTTAATTCGTGTAATAATCTAATCCATTCGAGTATCAGTGATAAGAATCGGCAGTTTTAGATTTCTAATTGATATATAAACTATTCACGCGTTACAATTAATCAATTAATCAATTGCACAAGACGCTTAGCAAAATATTCGCGAGATAGAGAAACATAGAGAGAAAGATATAGAGAAACAATGAATAACTTTTTATATTATGATAAATAAGTACAGAGAATATTTAAACGAATGTTTTTAATAATATCGAATGCAATTGATAATGAACTACATAAATATCGTATGATCATTACTTATCATTATTTATTATATTTATATTATATGATTGATATATATTCATTAATTAGTAAATTTTTGAAATTTTTACGAACATGAATATTCAGGAACATTAAAAAATCTGTATTGAAATTAATCTTGATTGCAATAATTCTTTGCAATTCTGCAAAATTTATTTTTGCAATTGGTAATGTATATTGCAATAATTGTTTCGGCATATTGGCAGTTCTAGTATTATTATAACAAAAATTTTATACTGTAAATATTTTTTTAGTTGCGTATGTTATTTAATATAGAGTAATAATGTCAAAATTGCAACCGTAACTAATCATTAATGATTCATTCATTCATTTTTCTTCACGGTTTCAACAAAATCTCCTCCCGCGCGAAATCATTTATTTTATTGTGGAATTGCGAAAGAACATTATTTATGTCCAAATTTTGTGACTGGCTATCGAGTCTCCCGCCCTGAAAAGCGCCGTATTCTCGCCCTTGAAGCAATACTTGGGCAACTCTTGGCACAACTGGTTGCAAACGGGTTCTATTTGAACGATGTCGCGTGCGTTCTCTAGGCTGCGTCACTTTGGTACTGTTAAAAGAAATTTTGAAAAAATCATTAATTGTAGAAAAATCTTGATTACTAATAATTTAAATTAAAAATTTTTTGTTCGATTTTAAAATTTATTTAGTATAATCGAATTATCATACTTAGGTGGCCGTGATCCCAGTTTGACACCATGAGCCCATTGTTCATTCTCTCTTCGATCCGTCCAATTTCTTCTCCAGTTTACCCGATTCTTCTTCTTTCCCTCTAGCTTTCTCTTTTCGTCCAAGTATTTCTTACCCTTCTTTCTGGGTTTTAATCTTTGGTTTTGCGGCGCAAAAGGATCCGACTTCTTGCGTCTTCTTGCTGAAGGTAAAAATATCATATGGTTAAAATGAATTATAAACTGTATCGATATTAAATACGATTGAAATACTAGTTAAGAACGATTTAAATACTTTTACACAGCTTTTTCTACTGTATCTTTCGAGTTTCGAATGCATTTCTTACCTAAACGACCGGCGGGCACTTCGCATATATAATGCTTCCGTTCGACGCAGCTTCTCGCGCTCCACTTGTATTTCAATGCGGGATCCATTATGATACAATGCCACGCGTACGTCTCAGATTTCCCGGGTTCCATTTTTCCGAAACTCTGGAAAACCATCTTCTCACCCGTCACACCCCATTCCCAAGCCATCTGTTGCCAGTTGAAAATTCCGCCGATCCACCGCTCCAATTTTGCTGTCGAGTTTCGTTGAATTTAGGCGGAGTTGCTCGGCATTATAGTCAGAGACGAGACGAGAATAGCTTATACTCACTGAACTGATCCCCCATCAAGTATTTTCTCAGCATCCTGTCCTTTCCATTTCTGTCCAATATAGCCAAGGTGGCATTTCTGTCCTTGCAATGGAAGTACGCGTCCCTCCATGGCGCTGTGCCGGCGCTCAAGTAATAACAGAATCGTTTCAATCGAAAAAACCCAATGGGACACGCGAATCGTCTTACGGGTTCGTGCTGTCGCACTGTTCTGGATTGATTAGTTGTCAAGGAATTAACGCTGAAGTTCGACAAGTCCAAAACAGCCGAGGATAAGCCTGGAAAGGAAAATCAGACATATATAATCATACATCAGTTTCTTATCACATTGCAATTATAAATGGGCACTTTGATAAATTTCTGAATATTTTACAACACATATGAAATTAGACGAATGGAAAATTCAAGTTATTCCGATATTTTTCGCTCATTAAACTCGTTTTTTTCAGCATCAATAATTTCCAGCAGTTGGGCATTTGGTAGAATTTCTTGTTCTGATAAATTTCGATATTTTCAAATCCATAATTTCCTCTTTTGCTGGTATAATTTATGCGCATACCTGATGCGCATTTCGTTCCATGTGAATACATTTTTGTTCCGTGGCCTTGAGCGGAATTTAAGCATTATGTAATGCCGTCTGCAGTTCATGCGTGACTAGGCGCCACATCATTGCATAGCTAAGATATAGTATCGAGTATTGAATTATCGAGTATTGTCTCATAAAATAAATTCTTTTCCATTTGGACCGATAACAAATTTTCAGGCTTATCATTAAGACGTAAATATCTTATTTTGATGGAACGCCTGTTTGTGATCTAATTTAGTCTTGTGACATGTATTAAATCATAATTTTATCTCTCACATATTCCTTTTAAATATGCGTTTATATAATTCTGCAGATTTTATTTATCTAAAAAGAGAAATAAAGTACAACAGAAAGAAAAGCATCATGACTTGTTTTCGAAAGATACAGAGAAATTTTCGTTCATTATAATTTTACATAATCTTCCTGCGGAGGATTAGGTAATTCTCTTGATTGAAACTTTTTAGGGCGTGACAAGTCCTTCGAATGGAACCGGTAAAGCAATTTTTATGACAGCTATACTGTATGCGCATACAATAGGTATTCAAAATTTAACTGCCAGTTTAAAAAGCTAGTTAATGAGAATCTCAAAATATAAATAATTCAACACATTTTAAAGATTGCATAATGTTCGAAAATATTGAAAAATAAGCAATTTATGTATTAAAGATTTTCTGAAAAACTATAGAAGAATTTGCCTGATATGTATCGATATTTATTGCAAATTAATATAGTTTTTTACAGTATGCGGTCAATGCAGCAGGCAATTATTGTCATATATGTCCAATTAATTACTCAAAAAGCCATTTCTATGAGTCACTGTCGCATAGAACCTCATGGCACGCACACCGCCATAAATTTCATTTATGATACACAACTAATATCGTATGACTACTAATAAATACCAGAGATTTAACCTTTATACGGGAAGCCCGCAGGCTTCTAGTGTAGAAAATATATTCTTGTTCGCACGACAATTAGCGATAGAATTAATTGTTCTATTTATTATATTTAATCATAGTACATTTAATTTACAATAACATCTCTAGCGGATCATTTCATGAGATAAACAAGTTTGAAAGGGACTTTATAAAATCAGACAATTTTAATGGCGAAATAATATAATGGTTTTTATCGTATCAGTTTTGACTTTTATGATAAACGACATAAGATTAATAAATTGGATAGCAAGTTTAGTTACATTCTTTTATTATTATTTTATGAACGTAAAAAGGAGTAATTACACGTAAGGTGAAATAGAAAAATAGAGCTAAAATTGCGTTTCAATCGAGCTCGAATGTATTACGGTTTTTTATTATCTTATCATTTTATGCATTTTACTTTGACAGAATCATTATTCAAATTGTTAGAAGGAAGCATAAAGAACACGCCGCTTTATGCTAAGTATAGTTTATGTTTGTATTACGCAGCATTTTCTAGATGAATATTTAATTACTATTCGCAGAATCTTGATTTTGAGTTACGAGTACGTATAGATCATAGATATAAATGAATTAAATTTAAATGGAGCAGATTTAATTGATTTATTAATACTTGGAGCACGTGTTAAAGCATAGCGATTGTACTCAAAATCTATTCGAGCAAATGGATGGACGTTTACATAACAGAATTATGCGATAACTAATTTCCACGAATTATAAAAACCAGTAGCTGCTGATTACAATTTCACGCTTTTTAATTACAATACGATTGATTTTAGTTAGTCATCAACTCAAAATAGTACTGTGCATATATCAATCTGAAATAATTATAACTGGCTGCAGAACAAAATTTTAAAAATAAAATTAATTAAAGAATTAAAAAATTATCTTATCTAAAAAAAACATGGTTCGCGAAATTGTTACGAAATTTATAAAATGTTCTTGTTGGAATTTTTTTACATGCCGTTCCTCTCAACCGCACGTAAATTTGCGAACTATGTTAAAGTTCGTTGCAGCTTTGGATACCGCGATATACGACTTGCTTTAAAATGCGAGACATAACAAACGAGATGGCCAGCGCGTATGTTGCATATTTCATTTTGACTTGAAATTCTCAGGTTCCGAGGAGCCATATCTAAATCTTTAACGTGTGGAAATTCATCCAGTTTCCTGGGTTTCAAATATACAAAAGTGCTATTTTTTGCGAATACTGATGATAAAAAAAAATTAGATTTCCTATTTTACAATATGTATTTCATGTATTTAAAAATTTTTAAATCGATGAGTCATAAACTTTTATTTCTCAGAAACATGATTTTTATGAGAATAGGAACAATAAATATTTCTTTGTCAAGCAAAGTACTTTACACGTACGTATCTTTGTGTAATCATTTAATCGTATGCGTTTTCTTATCACAGGTGTGTGCACAAACTGTTGTCTGATACTAAAATATCTTTTTACACCAGCCGCAGAAAATATCGTGCGACTACTTATTCACGTAAATATTCAGTCATGCAGAATGTCATGCAAAACTCTATTTTTTTCCTTTTTTAAATAGGCAATTGTATATAATTATTAATAAATTAAATTAGATAATTATATTTTAATATTAAATTGCCAAGAATTTATTATTTCTATTTAAGAAGATTGTAAAAAATAAGAAAAAATATTTTTCTGCTTATATTGGAATGATATTGCATATTTTTCTGCTTATATTGGAATGATATTTCCATGCAAATATCCTCGTATATCTATCTAGGAATTGTGTAAATGCTGCAAAACAAAGTCAATGAATTTGCGTAAATACTTAACATCCGCTGAGATTAATTATAATCAAAATTAGCAATTAAAATCGAAATTATAAAGTTAATAAGTTTACCTCATTTATCATCGATAATATTGTTTCATGGTATACACTTTAAGTAAATGTCATCTGATATTTTCAAGCTCGTCTAATCGACTGATATTGCTAGACATGACAGAATTATATTTATGGTATATGTCTACCCACAACTTATACTTTCATTCATGTAACATTTGTGGGACAAGGCTAACCTCGGTGAATTGGATGAACATTCTTCTCATATTTCCAGAATTTACCGTTATCTTCGCGAACAAGTTGGTATTATTAGTAATTAATCAATTAATTTTTAATTTATACGTATACCACGTTATTGAAGGCAATTTATTAATTCAGGTTAAAGTTTCATGTGACATAATGATTACACTCGATTATAATTAGCAGTTATTAGGTCATTTTTATCAATGAAAGAAAATGTTGTCAAATAATATTGAGAAATTTTTTACATGACAGCCACATTGTTGACTTTAATTCTTAAGAAGTTTTTTTTCGATAGCCACAAGCAAGTTTACGATTGTTACGATCGAAGCTATTCTTGACACAGATTCGATTTGATGGTATCGTTTCGTTGGTATCATTCCCGCCTAGATCCGATCTCGCGAAAATAGATTGCTGCGTCTGCTCAGAAACTGTCTGTATGAGGACATGTGCTTCGATCGTTAATTTATTTGCGGTTTCCATTAGAAAATGCTTGATAAAATATGCGCGTTCCGAAACTGTCTGTGCAACGTAGTCGTTTCACTTGCAGGCTGGTTAATTTTATATGCAGAAATTTCACGTGTGTCTGATATAAAGTATGCATCTCGCAACATACATCCCATTTAAGGTCTGTTAGGAATTTTGTCTTAAATTTTATTAAGGAAATTTTTGTTAAATTATATTAAAATTAGCTGCTTTGGTAAAAACAAATATATTTAATTTAATAATTAGAGACTTGGCTCAAGTAATCAAAAAATTAAAAAGAAACTGGCATAAGAGCCAACGCGCGGTAGTTGGAGCGCAGAGAAGCAACAACACTTCTTTTTTTCAATATAGTTTAAAAGAACATTGACGCTAAATTGCAACGGAGGTCTAGTAAGCGCTCTGCTTCTAACAGTCAATTAAATAATATTATAACTATGCGACATCACAGCCAATCTAACATTGAATCTAATATTGAAAAAAGAAAGAAGTGCTGTTGCTTCTCTGCGCTCCAACTACCGCTCTTATGCCATTTTCTTTTTAATTTTTTAAATATATTTAAATTTAAAAAAGATAAGCAATATATAAATAGAGAAAATTAATAATTAAATTAGCTCTTTCAGGGGAAAAATCGTTATATAATTTATTTTAAAGATATAGATTATCTATATTATTCTATACAGACTTTCAATTATCTGTATTAATACCTGCAATTGTTTAATGCATCAAAACTTGATAGATACTTATCAATCATAGTCATTAAAGTATTACGTAATTTCAAAAATCATATAGATAATTATACGTTGCGTTATTGTAACTCTGAGAGTTGCTATTAGGTTGCCAATTAGCAAAGTGCGTAACTGCTAATAGGTACAACAACTAATACAGCTGTATCTCAGCATTTGAAAGATATCTTGTCACGATTATACCTCTCTACATCAGGTGAATTATCTTAAGTATCATCAAGATTTTAACGGCATTTAGCTTTTAAATTCGCGAATTCTGGAGTTTCAGTTTCTCATCAGTTCAATTCAATCGTTTATGTTGATCAATAAATAAATAATGCGCGCGAACAAATTGCAGAAATTGAATTTTGTGAAATTATAATAGATGTAAAATTAATCTAGATATCTCGCTTGTTTTAATAGAGTGATTTTAATTGATGTTGCCTACATTTTCGCGGTCAACAGAATTGCATTTGGCATTTCAATATACACACTACGTTGATATATTAACTGGAGATTAAATATTGATTAATTATATGATAATACTGAATTATATATTATTTTATTAGAGGAAATATATATAATTGTTTGTAAAGAGGAGGCATCAAATTCTTTTTCATCAAGCAACCGTTTATTATCGCAATTTCATTGTTAGATGCAATTAACCTTATTTGTGACATCCATCATCGTACAAAAAAATTGCCATTTCGTATGCATTATTTTATGATACTTTATGTCGCAAATTTTAATTACGATTTTTATCTCAGAATTTAATGATCATCTTTCTTTACTACTTATCTCTTTGAATTAATCGCTTCTTACAATCTCACCGCATTTACCTACTCATTCGTGCTTTCGCGCGTACCTCGCTGTTAACACCTCGGACTTTCCCTCTCATTAGGATCATCCGCGATTTACTTAAACCCATCGCGCACCTCAAACGATTAATTACCTGCAAAGCACAGAAACAGGATCCAACACTTCCACATGTCTACTTTACAGGTCGCTTACTCGTCGAAGTATTCGATACAAAGGTCACAATTCGCGCTCAGGATCGTCCTCATTCTCGTTTCTTGAATCTCGCCTCGCTTCCGATTTCGCGCATTGTCATAATCGCACTGGTTTGCGAATTTTCGCGACGAAAAGAGAGAAAAAAATCGGCCGCTTCACTTTTATACCCCTCGATTGGTTTCCCTGGAGATCGCAGGTACACTCTATCGCGATCGATAAGGTGCCCGGACTACGTCGATCGTAGAGACCGTTCTTCGACGGAGGTTCGCGCCCGACTGAAGCCGCTGCTTCCATTCCGCTCGGCGCGTACCTTCGCGCGCTCCGCGAGCTTACAAGAGGAATTCTCTCGCGCTTCCCCTAACTCCAGATGTTACCGCGTTCATTTTCTGAATCCAAAGAGCCATGGATCCGCCGTACAGAGAATCCGTCTAGCTTACTGCGATTTCTATTCGAATCAACGAATGTGCCTCATGCGGTTACGCATACACTCGCGGAAATACGTGTGGACTGTATGACAGATATGCTGCTCTTTCGCGTGCTCTGCTTATTTTAGGAAAAACATGTATGTGACGTTTCCCCGAGAAAATTTTTCATGGGCAACGCTGCAGAGCACATATAGAACATTTATTTATGTCCATCTGTCGTTTTTATGTAAAAATGTTAGAGCGAATTTTAAGTCTGTATTCCTTGAATATCTGGCCTTGACTTTTTACGCTATTTCAAAATAGTAAAGTTTATTACTACACACGGCATATACAAATGCGTATACACAATTTAATAGATTTCTATTCATGTTTTGCATAACGCCACCAATCGTCTTCGGTCGAACTCAAGGATGTACGAGCTTAGCAAACATAGAACGTACGATAATTGCGCACCAATATAGAAATTGTGAACAAATTCTACGTAGTTGCATCGACAACTTGCAAAATGTTTGAAAAACTACGTGTCAACAAAGCTAAAGCATCTAATATTCTCTGCACTTAATATTCCTATCATAAAACAGGATTAAAATATATATCATCATCAATAACTATATATCAGAATATGTGAGAGAAAGGACTATCCAAAAATATGAAAAAATTTAGGTCAGAATTTCATGAATATTGAAAGAACGAAGGATTATTTTTTTCGCGTATAAAATAATGCAAAGTTATGTAAGTTAGTAAAAATAAAAGCAAGTGAGAAATAATGTATGTAAAAGTGGTCGCTTGTTATTTATGATGATAATAATTTGAAATTAATTCAGAATTAATCAACGTATATATATGAAAGAATTATCTGATGATAACTTTATCCCCTCTTGTCGATCAATTTTTCACGTTTGAGTTTATCTCTGAATAAATGTTCATCTGAATAAATGTTCATTTATTATTGATTATTAATTGATAATGTGAGAATAAGATGCGTGATTGACAAATTCGATATTTATATAATATAATTAATAATGTATAATAGTTTATATAAGGCAGTATCAAGGCACGACGACCTCAAATCGAGCTCACTTTTAAAATATCATCGCGCTAGTAGACCAGCATTTCCGTTTAATGGCAAGTTGCCAATTGGGTGCATTAACGTCTATCTGTCCGATAGTATCTTTTCGGAAGTTAACGTCTAAATTGAATTGATTAAAATATAGTAGCAGAAGTAAAAGGAAATGTTAGTATGTAAGTAAATCTGAGATAGCGCGGAACTAGAAACGTAATTTGCTATCGTCGAATCGGATTTCGCGAATCTTTTAATAATATCTCTACTTACTTATCACTCGCAGAGACATGGCGATAATAATGTAGAAAAAGTATGTCAACAGCAAAAGAGCTGCAAAAAAAAAAAAAGAGAAATTGAGGACTAGCCAGAAAGGAAATACAATGCATGCGCGCATGAAATGAGATGCATTCTGAAAATTCGACTATTGTATTACACATGTATTATAAATATCATCTCTGTGACATTTTACTTAATATCTTTACTTAATATCTTTAAAAAATACACCGATATACTCATTTGTAAATATTATGTATTTTGTACAATGTTCGCACTTGTTATCGCGGTTGCATAATTTAGATATATTTATATTTTTTTCTTCTTTTTTTGTACCATAGATAGCTATTTTTACACACATCGTATACCTATACATTTCTCGTGCACGCAAATATATAAATAGCGATTACATTCTTGTTATTTACACCGTGATGAAAGTATCGTTCAAAATAATCTATAACATTTAAATGTTGCCCATTCGAACAACGTATACATTTAAATACTGCACGTTTGATGTTGGAATGTTTTATATGCTTGAAACATCAAAGAGAAAAAGAGAAACGCGAATTTTATTTTATTTTTTATTACCTATATAAATACGGGCTGCATTTGGGTGACGGCGTGGCCGAGATTACGTTCAAACTACTATGACGGCGATTCATTTGCGCATTCCTGATGCTTTGAAAGGTACACTAGGAATGCTGCAATTCGCGGAATTGCAATTTGGGGATGGGTTGACGACTGCGTGCCTGAAATCACAACGGAGCGATTGACAGATTCAAATAATTCTAGATATTGCGTCAGGCATTATGGAGATGTAGATGCAGTGGTCATGTTTATGGCTTCAGGAACATTATCACCATTACGTAGTATAATCTGACGTCATTTACAAGTGTAGCTTACGTTTTCAAGCTTATAATCTCATTAGTATATAGAAAAAAAATGTTTTAACTTCCATGCTCTTGAATTAATTCCACTTTAGTTCTTTAGTATAGTGGAACAACTATTTTTAGAATAGAATAACTACATTTTATTTTCTTTAACTGGACTTCAATATTTCAGATACGATCTAATGTTTCAAATTCAATTCAGTGGTACATACAAATGAAAGGGCAATTCTGGGCGAGACATGTATTTCCATATTAGGCAAGACCGCGCGTGCTTTTAGCGCACGTGTGTCTTGTTAAATTTCTCTCAAGGACAGAGAAATATACATTAGAAAATTTAAATTTTGTAAAACGCTACATCTCTCAACAGTAAAGCTGAGAAATTTGGCATTCTTTCAAAATTAAGTTTAACTATGATACAAACATACCGCGCAGACATCAAGGCATTGCCATTTGCCATTGCAATCGAAATGTCGGGAGAACTCGATCTTCCTGAGACTGTCTGGCTATGGATTTATAAGCGAGTGCGTTCTTCTTCCACGTGTAATCGCCGAGAAAGGAAGCGGTCGGCTCTTAAGCAACAGGAAGGTCAGGTGCATCATTAAAACTGCGAATGCGGGTGACACATTCAATATATTGGCTAAATATTCCAAAATATTATCGATTTCCTTATTTGCTCCTAAGAGAGTTAAGTAACCTTTCATTCGTCGCCGAAAGGCCAAGGAAAGATCGGCGTAACAGATGTCTGGCGATTCTCATATTCATTCACTCATTTTTTTTTTGCCACGTGAGAAATCTCGCCGGCGCGAATTTGCAATTTGCAAAGCAGTAATTTTCGACGACGTCGTTAATTAGATACCGATTCGTTAACAGTTTCCTAATTGTACTGTCGGCGAGGAACGGTTCTCCCTTTTGCGCCGCAAAAACGACGAGAAACACAAAATGGCGTTTTTTATGAGCGCTCCCATGCGCGCTCGCGGACACTTCGGACTTTATGGAATTCTGGAAACCGGTTTTGTGCAAAATCTGCCGCGCATATATCCGCTCGCGATGCGCGGTGTCATCTCTTAGGAGCCTAATATGGGAAGGGTTTTATCGTAGAGTCTCTACGATTTCAGAACAATCGAGCAAAATGGCGAAAGGATGCTTCTCCTCGTCTTTAATCAGAAGAAATAACTTACTAAATGAATTTGACTGTTAGAATTGAAAGGACAGCCCAAGAACATCTCGTACGATATTTTGCGGAGACAGAGATCAAACGAATGCTAAATTGATGAGGATTTAGCACCTTTGCTAATATATAATGGTCATTTTTAATAAAATGTAGCGTAATATGTTCTTAGAAAAGATTATTTCATTTTATTTTATTCGGTATCTTGATAAATAAAATTTGAGTCAGAGAGTTCGAGAGATATCCTGCAGCTTTTCCCTCGGCGTTTATCTGCAAAGTGAAATGCATCTCGAAATATACTTCTCAAGAGAAACCGGAGCTGCCTGGTACCACTTCAGATATCACGCTGCAAGATACAGCGATGTATTATCTAATGTAAAACAAAATCATTTCGTAATGAATGTTGCATCTTTGAAGAAAGAGTCTCTACTTTATTGATCTTCAATTGCATTTTATTGCATTTACCTATCAATTTTATGTTGATTTAAATTTGCTCCAATATGACAGCTATGAAGTTTCATGTAATAACAATTTTTTCTTATGACTTTTTAAGTCGAAGGAACTTTTTGATTGGCGTCGTAATCTCGTGAGGCAAATTAGGCTATAAAAATTCGGCTCGCGCTTCGTGCGATGATACGTTTGGCTGGGCCGCGACTGTAAATCGGCCACGATGTAATGAAACTTGCATGCGCGATCATCAAGTGCAATTGTTTGACTCATCTCTGGTGTTTCATGCGATGCAAATTAGTGCAAATAGCCGCGATCTTAAATGTCAATAGCGTAGGCGTAGCGCCAATCATTCTCATGATAATTCAGTTTGACCCTTCAGTTGAGTCAACATATGACGCGATATATATATATAAATATATAAGCGTTCTCATCATTTATGCTGTCTTCAAGTCATCGCGATATGAATATCATTGCTTAATACGTCTTTTTTTTATTCCTTATTTCTTTTTTCTTGCTCTAAGGGACTGTTAAAAAGATGACGGATGTCGCGTTGAGATTTTTACAATATCACTCGACAGATTTTTACTGTCTAGTCGAGAAAGGATTTCAAATAATCTTCAATCGTCGTCGAAAAATTTTTTTCCATAGACAGCCTCTTCCGATTGCGAGTGTTCTTCGAATCTTCTACATTCTTCTTAGCTTTACACTTCAACTTGTCTCTTCACAATTACAGAAATGGCAGTGGCTGGAATGCAGAATATGCAAGATATAATAGTACATGTCAACCGTGTAAAATTTAGAGAAAGCAACATTTGTTTGCAAATTGTAAATTATCATCGTTTGTATAAACACCCAGTAATTGATTGCATTTTGCTAGGGATTATTTCAGGCTTGATATTTTCTCGTATTCGTGTAATCGATTAGATAAATAAGTCCTTCGAGGAAAGATCTTTCCTGCTCTTGAGGATTCCAGCAAATTTTCTTGTCGCGCGTGCAATCACGGTATTTAATGCATCTCCGCGAGAAATTTGGCCCGGCGCCAGTACAGTAATGATAATAGACGTCAGCTAACTATAGTTACTTAGAGGGGAACGTCAGTATTCATTTCGAGGCGTGTTAGAAACACGACATCCCGTAATAACTGTGATCCATGGTGCCTCGAAATCTCATCGTCTGTCATTAATCAACGTTACACGCAGATAAATGCATACTTCCGACGACGTCTTGCGCATACGTACCGTTTCGTGTATCTGTTCCGCATCTCGTATATTACGATAAACGCAGAGCTTGACTTTTTATTAAATTATTCAATGGGAATTTAAACTGCTGTGCGTACGCGGTTACATCGTTAGGTATTAGTCATTAAGGAAATCACACCACGATGTGTACCTTCGGGGAAGCTTATCTTATCACGGAACCACCTTGGCAAGCAGTCACGTAATTGTCTAATTTATGTATTCTTAGTACGTAGCCATGACTATATGGGAGAAACGAGAGAGCTAATTACACACGTAGGAAGACAAACATGAAATACCAAAGTGCCCAACTTTTCCCATTATCAAAAATATTTCCACCTCCTGCCTTTCCCCCTCCCCCCTCCTCCTCTCTCTCTCTCCTCCTATATATACTATATATTTTTTTTCTGACAATGAGAGCTATTGACGATTGTGACGTTTTACGTGTACATCAACTGGAGGAATGCGTGTAATTTAACATGAACTGGACGCGAAGGTATATCGTAATTGCAGTGATCTAACATAGGCTGTATGTGCGGCAAGATGACCGCGGGAACCTGCGTCTGGGTGGTCGAGAATCCTGACAATAATTCGAGTTCCGTTTCTCATTGGTTGAGAGCGTTGCCTCTGGAAAGGCTGAAATCACATTCCCAGCAAAACCAGCATTTTAATCACTGCTGGGCGTTTACGCGTGAACAACGATAATCTATGTCTGTTATGTCGACTATGTAGATCATCGCATTACGCGTTATCTAGTGCACGCGCTCTGCCTTCTCCACCTTCATCCTGTTTAACGGAATAGAGTTTGAATCAATCTTGTTTCCGAGAAGCTAATCTTAATCGAAGAAAATAATTATATATGTGGATATTGCGTGATTAACTTCCTCGACATCGCTATATCGTGTATCAAGACCTAACAGCTTTAACAACTGTGGCGGGAAAGTACTGTCTCACAAGAGAGACAGATCATGCGATAGGAATTGAGAAAGGAGATCCTATTTAAATCACTTTGCAAGTCCTGTGAAGATGATGACGTCAGCGATCACGTCGCTTTCCGCTCGCGTCCCGCTGGTTAAGGGTTAAACGAAAGCGAGACGTGCTAAGAGAAAAAAAAATAGAAAAGAGCGAAGCCTTGAAGCCTGTCTGGCGCGTGGGTGTTACAGGATGATGCATCAAAGGAATAGCGCGAGGAATAGCCCTTTATGTCCGCAGGTTCTCAAGGTGTATTTACACGACTCTTTATTTCTCGTGTGTGTGGATATCCTTGAGACCAGAAGTCTTACGTGCCCAGATGAACACGCGGCGCCGATTGGCTGTAGCATTGCATCTCTCCCCCCAGCTAATTTCCTCTTCAAATGAAGTTACTTTACATTCTTCATTTGTAACAATTTTATGACACATCGCATCGAAAATTATTCTTCTTTTCTTCAGCCTTTCACTGGAGCAAACGATAGATCACTTTGAATCTAAGAATTTCGCTTAAGTGGGTCGACGGTAAATCATTGCGACCGCCTCTGAATACTTCCCGGAATATTCTCTACACTTGGTTTCTCGATCTTCTCGAGATATCAAGTATAGTAGGGAAGCTATTTTTTAGGTCATCGTTACAAGGGAGAGTTGTCTCGGGATCGTTACGTCATCCATCGCCGGCATCACGTCGTGTGCATATTTAGACACTCTGACCATTCTCGTCACGTGTTGCTTCATCATGTACATTATCATACCAAATTCATGTATAACAAAAGCCAACCATCCTATTATATCCAGAAAAAAATGTAAAATTTTATTCATGCTTCCACTATTTTTTTCCCGAAAATGTTTTGATGGCTACAAAAATTCTTATTCTCGATTCATGGCACTTTTCATTTACCCGTCTGTCGATACATAATATTCGTACCTTTCTTTGAAGTATGAAAGGAGTCAACAAATATAGTTATTTCTTGTCATTGATTTCGTGCTTTATTTCTAGTATTCGTTCATGAGTGGCATGAAGTCACGGTTAAAATGGCCCTAAGCGGTTTATGTTTTACGTGTTTCGTAGTAATAAGCGTGACACCATTACCACGGAAACAGTTCGCTATTTCTGATATATTTTATATGTTTTTTTCGACACATCGGACGATGATGCAACAGCTGAAAATAATTCTCGAAATGCTGCGAATAAAATTTACCCTCTATGTATATGCACGTACATATAACTGTCTGTGTTTTTAAAGCAATAAGTTATTTAAGTTTTTATGACTTCCTTATACTACGCTCTATGGGATTTCTTTGAAGCTATTAAGAATGCTGAGAAATATAACTTACGTTTGACAATATAAGCCCACATCGATGGCTAAGTTCGGAATTCATGTTTAATTTCAATCTCCTTATCTGTAATCTTCTCATTTGTAGTCATAGTTTTTTCCGCATGTGCTACTAAAGTTTCATGAAATACATCTCTTCTTTACTCGATGAAAAATATAGAAGAAAAATTTTTTTCAAATAATAAATTTATTAAAATAATAAAATTATTAAAATAATAAAATTATTAATTAAGAAATAACATAAAATACAAACTTAATTCGTTCATCCTTTACTTAGCTAACGTAATCGGGCATGAACCGTGCAAATTCGAATTACGTATATGTCGGTCGAAAGACCGGATTGCGCAATGAAAAGACCGATCCGCTTAATTAAATAGCCATTATAAATGGAGAATACGCCCATTTCATAAATCTAGGGCCAAACCTTTTGCATGTAAGCCGGAATTTGTTTTTTCGGCGATTGTATATGTCGAGGGCGTAGCCGGTTAATGAAACGTATTTAAATCGATCGCAAATTTTTATCGCATGGACTTATCGCTCTTACACATTGCTAGGCAACAATGGCAATTACTTTGGCACAATAAATAGGAAGTGCAGCCTATTAACGCCGCCTCTTTTACATCCTGCGTTAATAACTATTGGTACAGAATACGCAAAAAAATTTTTGAATAACACATCATCCGTTTCTTGTTTAATCTCGAATGAATTTTTATGAACTCGCGATTTATCGTCGGTTATTTAATATTTATTTCAGGTCGAGTCGGTGGATTTGGCCCTAAAAATTTTGGACGGCTCGCAAATCCGAGGAAAAACATTATCGGTCCAGAGAGCAAAGTTCCAAATGAAGGGCGCATATGATCCCGCGCTGAAACCAAAGCGGAAAAAAAAGGATAAGGAGCGGCAGAAGAAGATGCAAGAAAAGTAAGCCTCTACATATTTTACGAATCTCAAAACGATAATGTTGATTAACTTTTACGTTAAAGTAATAATCGCGCGTGCGAGTGTCTCCTGTAAAATAAATATATATTATTATAAATATATATTTTATTATAAATATATATTATAGATAAAATTAATATATAGATAAAATTAAATTAATATATATAAATATATATTAATTTAATTTTATCTATATTTTTATTACTCATTTATATTTTTTAATTTAGTTATAAATTTTACAAGTATAAATTTTGTTACTGGAAATGCTTGCCGCGCCTTCTTTACCGATTTAAAGCGTAGTGTTACTTCCTGCCGAGTATAATTCGGTCCGTATAATTCGGGTTCGGTGAATCGCGTTGCAAAATCATGATCGCGTTTCTCCTCGGTTTCTCCTTGGTCCATTCATCTCTCTTTTCGCTCGCGTCCATGCGAGACGACGTATCCTTGGAGGGGGGATCAAGATACGTTTCATCCACGATGCGTCCGCCACGCGTGTATCTTATTAAGGCGCCTAACCGCGTTACACACATGTCGCAAGCGGCTCGTTGAAAACAGTATCGGGATGATTTCGAATCACGATGCTCGCTTGTGGGCGATAATATGAAGGAAACGTTTTCACATACATGCTTTTCGCGCATGTAACACGTGTTGCAGTGTGTGTAAAGGCTCTTATAATTGCACTGCCATCGGCTTGCAGTCGCCAGACTGCTTGGCGTTGGCGGTTCCGGCAAAGGCAGCTGCGCACGTCGATTACCCGCATTTAGTCTGTCAGTCCGTGTATACAGGCGAACCCAAAATTATACGGGCACGGTATGCTTCCAGGAAGATTGCAACGGAGACTTGATTCGTTAATCGAAACGTATGATTGCGTCGAGTGACATTGATTTTTTCGCGCATACATTAATGAATAATGACGTGAGAACGAAATCGATTTTTTATTTGATCCAGAAAAAAATATGCTTGGTCTTAGACACTTTGATAACAATGTTTTACTGATTCAATTATAATTGAATTAAAATGCAACCATGAAATGTAGGAATAATTAAATGACTTACTTTTAAAAATGGCCCGCTTCATGCGTTGCATCTTTAACATCGATTCGAAGATCTCGCGCCACGTCATATTTCATTGTATTGTCCAGTCGCGAGACGCATCTCTGTCATTTTTATCGTCTGCATCGTCTCGTTATCCGGCGTAGGTCGCGAGTACAGGGTCAATGCCCTGAACTTTGCGAAAACCAGTTATCGGCGAACGTGCACGGGCCCACGTTTGTCGGCCGGAAGTAGTCTTTGCAGCAACACGCTCTTTCAACACCCGTCGTGAATCTACGCGCATTGGTGCACTATAACGTTTCCTATCGACATTATTTCCCCCGAGCCATTCCGAGAAGCAGAATCGTGAGCCACGATCTGTCGATCATCGCGACTATTCTCACGATGATGACGAGTTGTTCTCGATTATGCTCGATATTGGCAATTATTATTTTTATTGACAGTGCTGCATCAGCAATATTTGCCGGCGTCTTTTAATCATTGAAGAATGCCACTTTCAATAATGATAGCAAGTGAGTCGACATATTATATAACGTGTAGAATCAAAAGATGCAGTATGTCCCAATAGCTCACTGTTATTTTTGTCAATTGGAAGCAATGTTTTTGAAGACTGCAATTGCTAATAAGAAGAAATATTCATGATTGATCTAAATTTTATTGCCACATCTTCTCATTAGATCTTGTGCTATTTTTTGTTTACAATAGATTGTTTGACTGGCGACCAGATCGCATGCGGGGTGAACCGTTAAAGTGCGAAAGGGTCGTTATATTAAAGAACCTTTTCACACCGGAGGATTTTGACAGGGATGTCCAGCTGCTTCTAGAATACCAGCAGGATATCCGATCCGAATGTCTCAAGTGCGGCGACGTCAGAAAAGTCATCATTTATGACGTGAGTTTTTCTTTTTTACTTCTATGTGTTTGCGCTGATTGTGAATGCTATTAATTTTAATCGCTGAATAATTATTATTAAATATGCACAATTTAATTAATAATTAAAATTATCTTTAGTCACATTCTCTATAATATATAAAGAAATGCTTACACGAATCTAAAAAAAAAACGAACCTTTGGCATATCTAAAATCTTTGTTGAAATCGCCGTTTCTTCTTCAAATTAAATCAAGTGATTGACCCTTTTCAGAGTATTTTTAGCAATTGAATTTCATGAATAGGCGACAGTTAGAAAATGCCTTCGAAAGGGGATGCCCTAACCCCCATAAATCGAGAGACGAAAAGCAAGATACTCCCAGTCTTTGCGTCTCAGCCGTGAAACTATTCAATGTCAAAGTACATTCCATTCGCACGACGACATGTGACACTCCTCTCCGCGTATATCTCTCTACTTTTCTATTTTTGTTTAGACATGTCTTTTATGTTGTCACATACACATGTCCATTTCTAATCATTTGTATTTAGTATTATTTAAAAGATTAAGTATTTATATATATTATTATTATTTCAACGCATTTATGATGAATTCTTTTTACGCATTTGTTGATGAATTTGTTCTGATTATGGATTTTTGCAAAATAAAAATCCACGTATATATATAACCATGTATATACATATCACGCATATATAATCTTATTTTATCAGAACCTCGTTCTTTTGGTGCGATGTGAAAAATAACATCGACTCTAAAAACTATGCGAGGCATTTCGTGTTCTGCTACCTAATTTACCATAAGCATCTCACTGCTATTTTTTTCTCATTCTGAGAGCACGTGTTACCGCCAATGCTCCAGAGCGAACCATGACCCTTTACTGTCGTGCTCGTCGTACGGTTGCTGAAACAGTGGATCAAAGAAGGTCCGCTGAAAGTTTTATAGAATTCGTTTTATAGAACTCCTATAATTTTTTAAATAAGAAAAAAGATACGAAATTTAACATTAAAACTTGTAAATTCTAATTAAAACTAATATTAGAAATAGAAAGTAAATTAATTTGAAACTTATGTATAGACTTTATTAAACAAAAAATCAATTTTATATGTTTAAATATATTATATATATATATATATATATATATATATATATATATAAAATTTAATTTAAATATATATAATATGATATTATATATATGCTAAAAAATATATTACTACTGAAGTTGCCTGCATGTATTTTTGTATATTCAATTAAATAGAAAGGATCTATTAATTATTCAGCAAAACGAAATTCTCAAGCAGTAAGTTTTAATTTAAATTATTTAATTAAAATTATTTTAATTGAAATTATTCTTGTTTATTCTTATATATTCTGTTTAATTTCCAGTGATATTGGCTTCAACAGGCATCTAAAATGTGATTCAATAAAATAAAACGGTTTATATTTGATCCATATTTTTAATGGATCGCCTTGTGTTTGTCTTCCTTTTTTAGAGGCATCCTGAAGGAGTAGCGCAAGTCACATTCCGAGAACCAGCAGAAGCGCAAGCTTGCATACAACTTCTGAACGGCCGTTGGTTCAGCCAGAGAAAGATCTCAGCGGAGATCTGGGATGGCAAGACCAAATACAAGTGAGTATTATTACATTGCTGATTCCTACTATACCGGCTTTAGAATCAACACCGATAGTTGCTGGAACAGGTATCTGGATCGATCAGAAACCTAAAACATATATTTCCTGTATTCCCTTGCATATTTGTTACTTTAAAAAATATTATAAAAGATATATAATTTATCACATTATATTGTTGATGCTTATATATATTGGTGTTTTCGAGACATATTTCATCTATTCCTGAATAAATCCGCTTACTTGAATCAAGAGAGGAATGTTCCTTGTTGATATCCGTATCATTTATCAATTGTTGGTATCTACCTTTATTTAATTAACAATAAACTATGTAGTTTAATTGCAGTACTGATTGCAAATATTTCTCAAAGTTGCCATACAATTGATTTATAATTACACGTCCTGGAATTAAAAATATAGCTATTAATGTATCGAAATATGTTTTACAGAATTACAGAAACTGATGCGGAGATTGAAGCACGACTAACAAACTGGGACACATACCTGGAGCAAGAAGATGAGCAAAAGGAAGAAACAGAACGAGAAACAAAAAGCAGTAACATAGAACAAAAAACATCGCAATGAGAATGCATTCCACGACCGATAAAATTGTAATTATATTTTAACGGATTCTATTTTCCTTATTTCCAAAAATCCTCGTCGTCGTTTCGCACTGAATGTTAAGCTCAGAGCTTTTTCTTTGAGCGTTTTAATGAGAACGCGATGATTAATCGATTCTGTCAACGACGACGTGGTTGAGATTATAAGCTGCTCGTAATCTTCGTCGTTGAATCGGCGCTACTGTTGTATTAGTCATATATTGTTAGTCGTTGCAACAATAAAGATATCTCTTCGGGTTATCTTCTCATCGCATTCATTTGCCAAGATGTCACGCCGCATCAATCTATTTTCTTAAGTCTCCTTCCTCAATTCCAAACCTGTATAGATAAGAAGAGTCACGCACACGTGATATAATGAAATCATACATTAAAGAAATATAATAATACGCTAAAAGTAATTACAAAGCAAATTTTAGATATATATTATTAAAATTACATTTAAAACGTGATCAAAACGCCAACAATATATTAATAATGGCTTAATATTCTATAAATATAATCTCTCAATATTCAGACTTCAGAACAATTATAAAGAAAAAAATAAGAATAAAATAAGAAAGAGAGCCAGGAATTCCTTGGAATTCTCTAATTTGCTATTTCGACGTTCCTGACAATCTCCTTTCGTGGGACTGCATCAGCGGGAGATCGTCGCTGCCGACTTGTCAAAAAACATGGTTTGCAGTATCCTTGGACCGCAGCATTCTTTCTCGCGGTGATCCACTCGAATTGTTCGTCGAAGTCACCTGATCGGCAGTAAACGCTATTTACCAGAGATACTTTGAAACGTCAGTTGAAAAACCAATGTTAATGGTCGCTTTTGTCTGTCGAAATTTTCTTGAGACTTAAGCTTCGCGAGATTTTCTCTGAAGATTCCTTTTGCAAAATATTGTAAAATTATTCTGAAATAAATATAAGATTTTTTAGATTTTTAATTTTTATTGTATCTATGTATCTTAATATTCTTATAATTAAATTTTGTAAGATTCTTTGTAATATTCTTATATTTAAATTTTGTTAAATTAAAGATTTTTAAATGAGACATAATGGAAACAATTTTTAAAATATATTTAACTACTTCTTAAACATCTATATCTTTTTTTTAACAATGCTCAAGCAACTAAATTGACGCCGATTTTTCGATCGGCACACGTGGCGAAAAAGAACAACACTTCAAAGCGCGAGGGTTTATTCGAGCAGTGTCTTTGCTTTCTATTGTCGGGCGTATATTCGAGCCATCCCCCTCACAATGGGGATAAAAGCACGAGGCATATTTCGCGTCATTCATGATCCAGAGAGCAAGACGATCCCATCGGCAATATCACTGACAAATTTAATGCCCAGCTATTAGGCAGCGGGGGGGTTCGTTTCGCCCCTTCTATCTGTCTATTGTCGAAGTGGCCACGTGCAAGATGACTACTGTCCCTCTTGCCCGGGCGAAAACGTTTAATCGTCATGTTGTCCGGAGATCTCCTGCGAAAAAAACCCCGCGCCCTTGTCACGCTTGTCGAGGGTTATTGGATTTGCCCGTCGCATGGAAGTGCTAAGTCGTTCGGGAACCTGCTAAGTTACACGCGAGATTACACCGACCGCTGTAATGTCGATTTGATACGGTCAAGTGTTTGTCGAATATTACGTGTTTTTGGCTATACGTAATTATTTACTCTGCAAATATATAATAAAAATTAAATGAAATTTATTTTATGAAACTAAATTTGTTTGTAATCTTTGAGATAAAACATTAGTTATGAAATATTTGAAGGACATAATTAATATAAAGCCACAATTAGTTTTTACCGAATCTTTAAAATGATACATCAACCTATCTAAGATCTCAACGTTAAGGACAACTATTTTATGTATAAGATAAAGTACTTATATATTAAATATATACATATATAGAAAAAAATATTTCTGTAAAAAGTTTTATTTATATAAATATATGATATTAAATACACGCGTATGTTACATAATATTTTGTGAAACAGCCTCAAAATATAATTTCCTATAAATTTATGTATATATATGTATATAAAATATCGATTTAAGTATTAATCTAAGATTTAATACTCTTCGGCAGATATTGCTTCATCGACATCTTCAGTTTCTCTTCTAAATCGAAAGCCACCACTTACACCAACCGAGGGGGAAAGTCCATTGCCTCCTGGACGTGGTTGAAATTGAGTGTGACCTCTGATGAAACCGTTATTGCCGAAGTTCCTTTCAGCCTGGACGCCAAAGTGCGGCTGCACTCGTTGTCCAGGTACTTTGCTCATTCCTCCGTAGACATCCGCTGTTGTGCGACCATTGTTATAAATATTACGATTAGCATTGAGATCCCAGCTTGGTTGGCGCATCGGACCGCTCAGAGGCTGCGTCCCCTGGAAGCTTAGTGAAGTTCCTTGCGGTTCTGCCTCTCGCTTAAAGCGGTAGCCAGCACTTATACCACCCGAGGGGGAAAGTCCATTGCCTCCCGGGCGTGGTTGAAATTGAGTGTGACCTCTGATGAAACCATTCTTGCCAATGCTTCTTTCAGCCTGGATGCCAAAGTGTGGCTGTACTCGTTGTCCAGGTACTTTACTCATTCCTCCATAGATATCCGCTGTTGTGCGACCATTGTTATAAATATTACGATTAGCGTTAAGATCCCAGCTTGGTTGGCGCATTGGGCCGCTCAGAGGCTGTGTCCCCTGGAAGCTTAGTGACGTTCCTTGTGGTTCTGCCTCTCGCCTGAAGCGGTAGCCAGCACTTATACCACCCGAGGGGGAAAGTCCGTTGCCTCCCGGGCGTGGTTGAAATTGAGTGTGACCTCTGATGAAACCATTCTTGCCAATGCTTCTTTCAGCCTGGATGCCGAAGTGCGGCTGCACTCGTTGTCCAGGTACTTTACTCATTCCTCCGTAGACATCCGCTGTTGTGCGACCATTGTTATAAATATTACGATTAGCGTTAAGATCCCAGCTTGGTTGGCGCATCGGGCCGCTCAGAGGCTGTGTCCCCTGGAAGCTTAGTGACGTTCCTTGTGGTTCTGCCTCTCGCCTGAAGCGGTAGCCAGCACTTATACCACCCGAGGGGGAAAGTCCGTTGCCTCCCGGGCGTGGTTGAAATTGAGTGTGACCTCTGATGAAACCATTCTTGCCAATGCTTCTTTCAGCCTGGATGCCGAAGTGCGGCTGCACTCGTTGTCCAGGTACTTTACTCATTCCTCCGTAGACATCCGCTGTTGTGCGACCATTGTTATAAATATTACGATTGGCATTAAGATCCCAGCTTGGTTGGCGCATCGGGCCGCTCAGAGGCTGCGTCCCCTGGAAGCTTAGTGACGTTCCTTGTGGTTCTGCCTCTCGCCTGAAGCGGTAGCCAGCACTTATACCACCCGAGGGGGAGAATCCATTGCCTCCCGGGCGTGGTTGAAATTGAGTGTGACCTCTGATGAAACCATTCTTGCCAATGTTTCTTTCAGCCTGGATGCCGAAGTGCGGTTGCATTCGTTGTCCAGGTACTTTGCTAATTCCTCCATAGATATCCGCGGTTGTGCGACCATTGTTATAAATATTACGATTAGCGTTAATATCCCAGCTTGGTTGGCGCATCGGGCTCTGGAAGCTTAGTGAAGCTCCTCCTTTGCGCATCGGGTCGCTGAGAGGCTGTGTGCCCTGGAAACTTGTCGAACCCTTTTCGGCATCACGACGTAGACGTGAATTCTACGAAAAAAAGGGAAAATTAAATTTTTGTGTACAAAATACACGTATGTACAAAATATATGTATGTTTTTCTCGACATATTTATTTTAAATTTTATTTATAGTTTTAAATTAATTTTTAAATAAATTCTTTTTTAAATTTGATTATTAAATTATCTAAATTGAAATATTAATATTTTATATTTAAAATAAAAAACTTTAAATAATCATATATATTGCATATTTTTATATAAACAATAAATGATGCCTTACATGATAATATAATAAATTAATGACACATTATATATAGTTACATATAAATATATAAGAACAATAGAAGTTATTGAAAAATTCCTGCTGCAAAGCTTTTTATTTATTATCGTATTTGTTAGAAATAAATAAGCAGGAACAATAGAAGTCATTTGCGAAAGCGCAGAGGTACTTTCCAATCTAGGAAATTCCAATTCAATGACAATTTCCATTTCTGACAATTGTCTTTGTGAGTCAATAAGTGAGAAATACAAGATAATTATGGTGCAACGTGTTATTATAATGTATGCAAAGCCACACAGTCACTGATTTTTCATACTACATCAACTACAGCGATATTTAATGTGCTTTCATATAAAAAAAAATTTTATATATTTTATATTTTTTTATTTAGAAACCGTGTAAATCGATATATATTCAATTTCAATAATTTAATGATTTAAAAAGAAAAGATTAATGAGAATCAGTAGCTACGAATTTAAATTTCAAATAAATTTATAGATTTCAGTTTTGATTAATTTTTTTAGTATATTGATTTTGTAATATACAATATTAAGTAAGCAATTACTTACATGTGGTATAATCGGATCAGACAGTTGATATTGGACGAGTTCCTTTGATGAAGTTTCCTGGGCACTCGCATAAGCGATAGCGCACAATAAGGCCAACACAAAAATTAACAGCTTCATAGTTGATATTAACTATGTTCCTCTGAGAAAGTAAGGAATGTTTTCGTTTCTACTGTGAAACTACTTCTGATGCCTGTCTGTCTTACCTCGGTCGCTTATATACAAATTTCTGACTCGGGGATGTACTATCAAGATTTTTCCCAATATTCCCGTTACATTATCTGTCGCTCTGGGTAATACCCAACAGTAGATTTCGTGCGCCTGTGAGTTGAGCTCACAGAAAGCATCGCATTACGGTCGCTCGCACCGGGAACCCCTCGCGCAATAAACAGCTGTAAAGCTGTCACTGTGCGCGAACATATTTCCTTCAACACGTGCATTGTCACAACATTGTATTTACATATCGCACCTTTGTTTCCAGTAATATGAGTAATGATATTTTCAATTATCTCATTTGACGTTATGTGGACGCCGAATATGAAATAAATGACAAATCATCAATGTCGTCATATGTTCTTAATTTCTCTTTTAAATAAAAGATATTATTAATTTCTCTTTTTAAATCATAGATATTATTCTAAATAATTATACAATTGTTAATAAAATTTTAAGAAACGAAAGAAACTTAACTTTGCTTTTGTACATTTAAAAATCTTATTACCATAAATGTCCAAAGTAATGATTTGTTCCATTTTTTCGATTCGTAAAATGCATATATTTTTACGATTTAAACATAATATTCTTATAACATTGTCTCTCTTTTTTTCGGTTTCTCCCGCACATATATACGTACATACTTATATTTTTGAAATAAAATATAAAAAAAAAAGTCTAATCGGAAATTTCAAGTTATTTTTTTAAGTTATTTAAGGCCTATCTCAATCTTTATATTACTTTTACAAAAATATAAATTATGCAAAATTATGGATTATATTTGCATAAGATACAAAAAAACAGTACACAAAATAAATAATATCACAAATGCACATACATATACATATAGATATGCACTTAATCATTAAATGTCGAAACGTCAAGATAATAGGAAAAATAATATCAGTGATACGTTTTACGTAATCGAGGTGAGAGTTCACGGAGATGTCGATAATCCGCGAATCGGGAATGTCCCTCATTCTGTCATCACGAAGGCATTAACCTCGACAACCGTTTGCGGTTATTAGATAAAAATTTTCTATATTTATAAAAAAATAAAAAGCCGGTGATATCCCGCAAAAATGACGTAGGCTTGAAAATCCTAAATCTTAATTAAATGTCAAGACTTCTTATATTTGTCTCGTAGACTCTCATCTTCAATGGATTCACTTATCATTATATTATTTCTTACAATTAGTCTTTTCGTTTGTTTATTTCTTCAATTAATAATCAAAATAAAGCTCGCGCTTATTTTGATTTTATCTCAATTACTATTGCTACTTTAGTTAATAAAAAAAATTAGTAGAAACAAAAGAAAATCTATAAGTAATTATATAATTAAGTAATCTTTAAGTTATTAAATATTAAATAATTTACGTTTAATAAAATTCGATTTAATTCGAATTAATTGTTATAACTGTATTATATGCAAATTAAAAAATTAATTTTTTTTAATTGCGATTTTTATACACCATTTATAATATTATTAGTTATGCTTATTTTTGCAATATAAATATAATAAATAAATAAATAAATAATATTGTGAACAAGTTTTATAATTATTTTAAATAGAAAATTATTATCTGATGATAATATTAATATACGAAAAATTACATTTAATTTTAATTAAACAAATATTATTTTAACTCACATTCGACTCTTAGATTCTATTCTAACAAGCAATAACATGCCGCAAACATGTGGAAACTAAAATATTATAAATTTAAAATATTATATATTTAAAATATCATATATTTATAATAAACAGATGATTGTTGATTTTACTGAAATATGAAATATGAACATAATCTAACGTCCAGTCGAGCATCTGGTAAGCAAGATTAATTTCAAGGTCTACAATAGTTTCCCGTTAGAAACTGTTCGAATTTTGAAATCAGCAATAGTTCTACTGAAGAAAGAAACCGACATGTGTAGCAAAGTGTTGTTTCAAAGTTAAACGCAAAAAAACATTTCATTAAATAAATTTTTAACAAAGAGCGACCATGTGTGTAGAATACAGTTTTTCTTCAACTGCTAGTATCTGTTTCAGAAAATCGAGCAAATGGAAAAAAACTGAGGATGTGAAAAGTCATACAATGTATTTAATTATTTCTTCTTGTATTTATTCCAATAATATGTTCTAATATTATTTATAATAAACAGATTATTAGCGATGATACTAAATATAAAGATATGAAAAATATTTTTAATGTAGTCCAGTCGAAGTCATATTTTGTATATGCAAGATTAAATTTCAAGTTTACAATATTTTTATTTAGAAATATTTTATTATATTTATAATATAATATATATATAATATATATAATATTTCCACAGATATACATACATTTATTTACAAATTTAAATTATTTATTTGTAATATTAAAGGTGGATTTTGCATTTTTCTTCCTTTTCACTTATCCTTGTGTAAATTCAAGTTCACTTGAAGATTATGCCGGATGTATCTGAAACCAGATCGTAAGTCGGTCGATCGGTGCCGCGTGAAAATACGATTTCCACGACAGCAACATTTCCGTAGGAATTCCATCCTGAAGACGCCATCTTCTCCCCCTCTCTCCTTCCCTTTCGCCACGGCAAATTAAGCTTCCCAAAACACCACGAAACTGTTAATTAAGACTCATTATGCGCGCTGCGGGGGATGGTTGCCTGGGATGGAAGGAAGGTGGCCGTAGCGGAGGATGAAGACCACGAAGAAGCCGAAGGAAGGGGTAGAAGGTGGCAGGGGCCGGAGATAGGCGGGGGTGGTTTAACCCGAGTACGAACTTCTTAATACCACAGCTGCAGTCGGGTTCATTGTGGGATCAATACGGGGAGAATCCGTGGTAGTGGCAGGCCAAGTGCGATTGGTTCCAACAATCGGGCACGGTGATTGGCCAACACCGGCACTACCAGGAGGCGGGTTCTGTCGCCACGAACCCGACGTGTTGGGGTGGCGGAAAAGAGGAAGAGGACATGCGGCGTCGCCGCTCGCTCGAAAAGGACGGCGACGGGAATGGTTCAGAAAAAGACAGCGACAAGCTCCAGGGAGAGAGAGGGTGACACACGGTGTCGAGTCTGGGGGGTTTCAGTCTGTGTTCACCCATGAGAGACACACCACCAGCGGCGACACGCTCCGCTCACATTGCGAGGGTGAGGGCTCGTTTTTCGCTCGCCAACTGGTCGTCCTTTGCCACTTGTCTTCCGCGTTGAATTCAAACACATCGCGATCGGAGTCTTACCGCCGTAGAGGATCTAAACGAGAGTAAATCGGTTCATCAAGACCGCGGCGAAAAAAACCGTGGAATAAATTGTGAGAGGAATTGTACGTGTCATCTTGAACTGCAGGTGGTCCTGCATATGACGTATGAAATGAAGTGTCAGAAGCGGTGACAACAGTTCTGTTACTAGCTAAGTGAAGTGTCAATGAAGTGTTAATAAAAAAAAATTAGACAGCCTGAGACAATTAAACAAATCTCTTCATCGATACAAACTGCAATTGAGAACAATTAAAATTTATCAAATTAAGAATCATGAAGAAAATCGTGCGCGTTATTAAAAGTAATCTTACACGATAAGTTGATCCGTATTGGAAAGTTTCGGAAACAGATACCTGAAAGGAAAAAAGTTTTGAATAGAAAAGAAAACTTACAAGTATTTAATTATTGGCAAAAAAAAATTCGAAGTCAAGTTTCTGAAAACAAAATCATAGAAGAAAAATTTTCATGAGGACTGTTACTGGGCATATGCCTAGCATATGCCTTCGTTTATCTTGTACATCTTCGTAGAATTCTTTGTAAGTAGGATATATGTCGCAATTCAATCTATCCAACTGATGACAATTATCTGAATCCTTTCGCATTTGTACTAAGGAAAAAGAAAGGAGAGCGATCGACTTGTGCAACTTTTTGTATTGCTTCAACTATCTTGAAGAATTAACTGCGTGTATTTATTATAGTTCAGTGGTTCTTGAAAAATAAGAAAGAACGTGTTTAAAAACTCTGCTATAAAATTCCACTACAGTTTAATAAAAAAAGAAAAAATTATGTCTAAACAAAATTGATGAGCATATATTATGTTGTGATCTTGAAAATGTCTAATCTTTCGTAATTATTTTTTCTGCTTTCTTCACGATATATGCATGAAGGCTTTTGTGATTATGATATAGCGCTGAAAAATTAAATATTTTTCAATAATATAATTAAATAAAAATAAATTGTGATATAATTGGATGAACGTCCACAATATATTTAAAAAAATATAAATATTGAAATTAAGCACAACCAAAGTATGTTCATTATCATCCTTGTGTGTTTTACTTGTGTAATTTACGTTGATTTGATAAATTTTTAAATAAACATATCTTGGACAATTGAAATAGTGTAAAAAAGAATAAAAGAAGACAAGACTGTTAAAAACAGTATTCAACAGCATACTATTCAATTTTTCACGAACGGCATAATATCCTGTTAATTATACCATTGATTTGATGTATCTCGTAGATCGTGAATAATTTTAAATATTTAAATTATTGATCGTGTGAAGCCATCGAAGAAATTAAAATTATCCAAGATAGATACATATATATATATCAGAACATTTGACAACAATATATTAAACTACCTCACTGTCGCTATGTGTTACAGCACGGACTGTTATCCTTAGTGTCGAATCTAGTGATTTCGAATGACTCTTCACGCTTGAGCCGATCGAGGTGCGCCATTGACGGAGTTGGAGGACGAGTTAAGGAGTGGTGTTATTCAAAAGGGTGGTGCGACGTTCGGGTACGCAAGTCTGCAGGCCAGCTCTGGGGTGCCGGGCCCGGGCGGGGTGATGAGCTGCTCCGATGTGATGTATCAATATTATCCTTATCTTTACCAGACCCACCGGCCACCGCCGCCGCATCCGACCCACCCCCATGCGGCCCCGCACAGTCACCCCCATGCCAATCCGCACGCGGCCCACCACAGCCCGGCCAGACCGGCGCCCTTTCAACCCTTCCCGGCGGCTACGGCGACGCATCAGTATGACAGGGTGAGTCTACGGCTTTTATTTCAATCATTGATAAATAACATTCTTACCGGAAACTCCTTGGTTTTGAGAGAGGAGAGGTGTAAGCCCTTTGTCAATCTCAATAATTTGTATAAAAATCACTAATAGTAAAATTAAAAATAATAATAAGTGATATAAAATTATGAAGCTCTATTCACGTTTTTCTGTATAATTAAAATAAATTAAATAAGTAGATTATTCGATTGATCGTTGACTAATCAATTTATTTAATAATGCTACGATATGAGATAAAATCTGTCATTATATAATAGACGAGATAGAAAATTGTACGAAGGCGCTAATAGAGTACATCAAAACGCCCACATTTCTAAAGTGGTTTATCAACACACTTTTATAACCCCACTTTAGAACGTTGTAGCTAGCATTCTTGAATTGTCCAAAGCAATTAAAAATGGATCCACGTTCGTTAGTCATTAAGTTTGACGCGTTTGGTAAAAAAAATTACATCCCCATTTATGGCGAAGACATTCTTTACTGTCATATAAATTAAATTAAGGAGATAATTTTATATACAAAATATATAATTTTCTTCATTTATAAATAATAAATAAATAGCAAAATGAAGTGAGATAAAATACATTGTTAAAGTAAGCAAATATTCGATTCGAAATCTCATATCTTTTGTATACAAATATGATTTGATTTTTGCTAAAAGTTATTATGTTTCTTTGAATTTTGGATTTCTGTTTTGGAATATTTGATCTTTTTTTTCTCGATTTTTATTTAACCTGTCGATTCTCAGATTGTATAGCAAGTTCTCCAAGTTGCCGAATAGCAAGCAGTCCTTCGAATCACTCGATTGTCGAATCCTCGATCCGCGAATATCTTGCCAGTGGCCTTTCTTAGAAATCGAGGAACATTGTCGCCAGAATAATATTGCGCCCAACTATACTCATCTTGAAATAGTTTCGAAACCAAGCAAGAAGTAAATTTTCTCGGGTAACGCGTGGAATCGTCTATGCATCATTTTAATTTGTCTGCTGGGAGATCAGGCGTGCTTCTGCATTCATGCACCCATGCGTGCATCGTAGGGTGTCGAGCATCGTTTCGTTATTTTTTCCAGCTCGGTAGGAAAGTAACGTTTCTTTTTTCTAGTATCAAATCTTTCGTGTAAGTAAAATTAAACTTGTAATTAACGATGCGAACTGAGAAATTCTTGAGAGTAGCTCTTCGGAAAACGAAGACATTAAGAATGAAAATGTGAGAGAATTTTTTAAAAATATTTTTTAAATATTATTTGAAACAAAGAGAATTAGTATACATTATACACTACACTTCGAAAATATTATCAAAAAGTAAAAAATTGTACGCTGAAAAACTCCATCATAAAATAAAATATTGCAATTGATTAAACTTTTAATTATAAAAAGTGAATCTCGATATCATATTAATCTTAATAAAATAAAAGCTACTAAAATTTGATAATGAAATGGGAAAAAGAAAAAAAAAGAAAAAGAGCAAGTGTTATTTTTCAGAAGTAAAGTACATTAAAAATTGTGTGAAATTAAAATCCTTTTCATCATAAAAAATTAGAAATTCAATCCCAGTTTGGACATTTAAATTAATGCGACTTTTTTTAAATTTTGTAAAAAAGTTTTACTTATAATTTCAGAATTTTCTTGGATATGTGGAATCTTTAATTTTTCTATTCTACATATCACATAAATTCTTCTTCAGAAATTTATTTAAAATGTAACTTTAGATTGACCAGAGTTTAATTAATCAAAGAAAACCGGCTATCTCTCTTCCTCTTCTTCCAAGATATATAGTTATGAGCATCGTTGGCCCATTTATCTATCAATCTCCCAGCGACATTGTAGAAACACGTCCCGACGTTCTCGCCACTTTTCTCTTTCTCTCTCGTGGTCTCGCGATCGCGAGATAACATCCGGCGAGAGCGTTAAGCGCGCGCGATACGAGCGAAGAGGAGGAAAGGAGGGAAAGCCGATCCCGGACAGCCAGACAGGACAGGTTCTCCACAAAGGAGGCTCCCCCGAGGGAAGAAGAGGGAGCACCGGGGCTCACACCGGCTCATATCCTCGGGGCCCGGGTAGTTCACGCGAACGCGGCGCGACACGAGTTTACTTTTATTTAAATCTCTCTCCTGCTTTTTTTATTTAGGGCCCTGAGAAACGCCGCTCATTTTGTTCCTTTGCCGGTCTCCGCTCTCTGTGTCTCCCTGGTCTCTGAATTAATAGCCGCGCTAGTGTTTTTCGCAGTGTGTCGGCCGCAACGTGCATGCGTACGAAAGCGCGTACCGACGTGACGCACGTTAAAAATGCGCCTCGTTTTCTCATGGGACGCACCGAAACCGCCATGCTTTATCGCTCCTGCTCGCTTGGTCGAGTAAACGAGCGAGTGTTCGAGGACTCCACTCGCGAAGAATGATATACGAAGTGTCGCAGAAGCTGCGCGATTCTTTGGAGAACCGTAGACATTACTTAATTCCTTCAAAAAATATTTTAAAAAGGACTTGAGTATCATTATATCAGTAATTTTTATCCTTAAATATGAAGAACAGAAAATTGATGAGAAGAACTCGACGTGAATATATAATTAGATCCCTTGAAATGAAATCTTACGAACCTTATTAAGAAGCATAGAGGATCCATTAACTGATATCATCTTCGCATAATGCGAAGGCTCGCAAGAAATTAGGCAATAGAGAGAGAAATGCAGAGATCGTAATACGCACAATCGTTTCGTCGGAGAAACGCATGCATCGAGGAAGAGACAGGTGCTGGTCGCAGGAGAAGTCCGCAAGAACTCGACTAATCAGTCGTAGCATTTTTCTCGACTGCCGTTTCTTCTCGCCAGGACCACCGAGACGCGCGTACGGACATCTCGCAAGATAGACCGACAGCGCGGTCCAAGACTATAATACCTATCCTATAACCAGCTCCTGTCCGTCCTCCTAGCAGCAGGTCTCAAACGGACCGCGCCTTTACCTGACCAAGTTTTACGATCGTCGCGTCGAGGTGGCGATGTGTCCTCGTGTTATCGTCCCGGCGGGATCTGGCCTGGCTAAAGCAGCCTCCTGCCACGGTTTCTTTTATTATATTTCTCATTCTTCCCCTTTTCTTCCTCCTTTCCTCATGTGCACCTCCTCGTCGTTGCCTTCGCGATTAAAGAACGAAGGACACCGCTTTGCCATGTTCATCAATTTGACTTAGTCGCCGTGCTGTTTTAGAGAGAAAAAATAATAGCAACGACGATAAGCAGGATCGCTTTATCAATCTTTTATGCCGCATGAACAAATATATAGTATTTAAATGTATATTATTTAATGTAAAATTGACTTCATCAATAATTCTCTTACATTAATTTGCTTCATTTTTATGCGGCAATTTTTTGATGTCTCGATTTTCTCTAGGTTTTCTTCCCAAATTTTTAATGTATCGCATAATTTGATTCATTTGCTACTGTTTTTTTTAATAATTAATTAAAGAAGTCACCGGAGCGAACTTGCTTTTCAGCGAACTGTCAACACATTGTCAATCTTTCACGCAATGTCGACATCACGCTGAGTTTCAAACTCTGGCATTTCCGTCGCGTCTTATTAGGAGAGATCGACTATCGTCCGGTAATTTGTTGTTCTCGCTTCGCCGGAATAAATTTTCACCGGGACTAGTTTCTCGGCCAGAGCACCAGAGCCCTGCGTGAACGCACGCCCTTTCCCCTGCCGTCTTTGCATTCCATTTATGAGATCGCTGTCGCAAGCGTTTATACAACCTGTCGCGGAAAATCGCCGCAGAATGCGACGTCGATTTCTAAAACCGCGAAACGATCGCAGCAGCCGAACGGAACTCGACCTGTTGATCGCGAGACGGGGAGCCGATATAGTGACAATTAAAATTCCATAAAATTCTCGATAAAATTATAAGTCAAGAAAGCGGAATTATACAATCTCGTGCATCTCAAATCAACCGCGAATAAAGATTAACGATCGCGCTTACTAATGAGAAAAGAAAGTATGACAGTGATTAAACAGCCCGATGCATTGGCATCGCTTAAAGATTTTTCATTTGGCAATAATTTATATTCTTCACAACATTTTTATCGAATTACTAGTTAACGTACATATCGGAGATTGCATCGAAGTCTCTCGAAACAATATCTGGAACATACGTATTATCCCAAGATTATATTATACCGAGTAACAGCCTGATCATTTTAATAATAATATCCCATTGATACACATGTTTTTTCACATATTTTTGCCATTTTATGTTCATTCGTTTCACCTGACGAAACAAATTTGAATTTCGGTCCTCCCTTTCATCATCGATTTCTTGCAAGAATGTTTTTTGGATCCGAATTTCGGGAATCTACGCCACTGTGCGAGTCACGCAGAAAATTCGCCCATAAAGCGCGCGGAACGACTGCGCGCTCGTCCGTAAAAGAAAGAAGAAGCGAACCGAGCGGTACATTTAAACGCTTCCCGGGCGCACAGGAGTTCCCAGAGAGAAGCAAGATTTTACGCTTACGTCTTTACTTAACCCCTTGACCATACGATGAACGGCAACATTTTTCCGACGCGGGATCAACAGGAGGGAGTCTTCCTGCCATCCCCCTCCATGAATCGCCTTCAATATTCGCCGTCGCGATCATGCGAGTATCTGGTACCTGGCGTGGCATTTCGATATCTCGCCAGGTATACCACGGTACCCGCAGCGCGTAGGAAAAACTAATTAATTACGATCAATCTACGCGTCGTAAAAGCCAGCCAGGTCCGCTGTCCGTTCGACCGGCTGACCCTGTCGAAGTCGAGAAGGCGTTGCTATACCGGGTATGAGCTACGATCGCCGTTTTCGTCGTGCTCAGCCGAGCAGGGAGCATCGACATCGGCAAAAGCTTTTTTCTCCGCGCGACTCTTCTCGCTGTATCATCTGCGAAAATCAACGCGGCGTATTGTCGGTCATTTGCAAAGAGAAATACCGAGAACACAATTGCGTTTTTAA